AACGCATGCATTCGCATTTTTTGTTGTTCAGTGGTCAAATCGATGGCGATATGCGCCTCTCATTTTTTTTTATTTTGCTCTGGGACCCGTTTGACCATGCTTATTGTTCTCCTGCCTCTCTCATTCGTGCTCTTTCTTGGTCACCATGTTGATTGTGGGTTCAGATCAGCTTGAGAACGAGAGGATGTGGATGTGGAAGGCGATCATTTTTGCATGGTGCATGGTAGTCATGCGCGTCTCGAGGAATAGGATTGCAACTTCCCGCTGCTTGCAACTGCGACCTGACCGTTGGAAATGTTCCCTATTCATAGGTGAATGGAGAATGGAAAGGGATCGAGGGGACCGGGTCAGCACATGCTTTGCTATTCGAGATAGATATTGTTTATGTACAACGTATAAGCACGATAACACTTCCCGATAACGTTTTTTTTTCTCTTCTTGCCTGCGGGAAGCTTGATTGCCACGTTTAGAGCTTTGTGTCACTCACATATTTTTTTTGTTATTCCTCTCAACCAAAAATAAAATTTGAAGCAAGCGAGGACGGGACTGACTGAAGTAAGGATCACCCATTCCCCGTCCGGCTCAGTCGTAATCACGAGTCGTGTGGGGATGGCCGATGGTGTTTTTACTTGGATAGCATCTTGAAAGGAGAAAGAGTGGGGTGAGAAAAGAACCCCGTTTCCCCCCACCCCCATTCCTTTTCCACGTTTATTATTATTTTATTTTTGTTTTCTTACCCCCATCAAGCCCTTGCCTTTCTCCACAAAACCAGCAAGTGGGTCAAAAAGAAGGAACTGTAGGGGTGAATGACATTCGGACTGACAAATAAGGTTGGGCCACTAAAATCAAGGACCTGTGGGCGTGGACGTTCAGCTAGCCAAGCTCTTTTGCTGCAACAACTGCAAGAGAACAGAACAACCCCCTGCGTTCTCTCTCTTCTTTACCTCGTGCGAATGTGGATGGGCTAATCGATCATCACTATCGGGAAGGCGGTTCAAAGTAGGTCGGTAGCATCTTTGCCTATCTCCGCCTTTCGATTGTCCGTTATTCCTCCCAAGCTGTGCTCACTCATTCGCTTTTTACCCCACCTTCACCTCCAGAAAGAAAGCCATGTAGGTCCATTCTAAAGCGATAGTTTTATGTGCGAGAAAGTATCACCATTGCTAAACCCATCTATCCCGTTACCCAATGTTTTCTGCTCTGACAGCTCCACTCTCCACGCCTCATCCCTCCCAAAATGAGAAAATGAAAATGGTTATTGGTTTTTGATGCATTCCTCCTTCATTCTTGATTCTGTCCAGAGTTCCGGTACCCTACTTGTGATATGACCCAATTTCAAGAGACTAAAATGCAATACAAACCTCCACTTCTAAGACATGGGCGCTGCGGCAGTGCAGTGCATACCCTGTGTATCCCCGCCAATTCTTCAATTGCAGCTTGCACCTTGCATTTGCAGCCAACTCTCTTGCCTATGCGGGTCTTGCTTGGCAACCAATTTCCTTTTATTTTGTCTCCGCAAAGACATAGTGGAGGTGAACGCGTGTGCGTGCGTACGCGCATCGGGGTTCTGTTTTCTCGGCCCGCTCCTCGGCTGGCCGGAGCGTTTCATTCACATTTATTGATACTGCTGCTGTTGTTGTTTTTTTTTTTACCGTGGATGTCTTTTTGGCGAGATGGATAGAATAAGCTATTCCTTGACCCCTTATTTTTCTACTTCCAAGGACAAACAACTGTCCAAACAGCCGACCAGAAAAGCATAGGAGCAAGAAAGTTTTGTTTCTCACATTGGAGGGGGTAAACAACAACAACAACAACAACAAGACAGGTAGGCCTTTTCGAGTAACCGTAGGGCAATGGTGTGTTTGTTTGTTCGAAGGGATGGATAGGGGGAGGAGGATCTCCCCATCTCGAAAAACAAAGTACCTTCCATCTCAAAAATCTCCTTGCTCCATGTATATTGTTATATAGAGCGATGGACTTGCATGCACAGGTCGATCCGGGAAACCTTTTGAACCATGGGAGGACGGAGAGAGAATGGAAGAAAGTAACCAATTGGGGAAATGCAAGTGCATTGGTTGGTTGGCCATACGGTATACAGCACAAATAGCCCCCCTTCTCCAAGAGCTATTTGTAACAGCTTTACACATTCCTTGTTTATCGTTCTTCTCCTTTATTCACGATGAGCCCAGGACACAAATAAGGCGGTTTAGATGAGCTTTTTCGCAAACACAAAAGGCCTTATCAGACGTCATCAATAGCAATCATAGCTTGCGATAGTAACCGAGTCCTCCTTCTATAGCACAAATGTGTTTAGCTTGTCTATTTTTTTTTATTTTTTTTTTGCACGGACGGAAGCCCTCTAGCCCTCCGGGATCTAACCCCCCACCTTCTGTGTATTCCATCCCACAACATTTTTCCATCTCAGCTGCTCCCATTTTTGATTTCGCCATGTCTCAATACTTTGCCAGCTCATACCGTTCTCTATCCTCGTTCGCACGCTCGCATGCAAGCTTTCTTACCCCATATCTCGATTAAACTCCGTCCACTCTGGGGGGGGGGAGATATTTGTCTGTCGTAGATCGAATATTTTTTGGGTGCATCACAATCAAAAACTGTCGCCCTTTTTTTTCTTTTCTTCCTGGGCACTATCCGTCCGTTCGCATCGTTATCGCGATGGGATGATGGTCTATGACACATTGTTTTTTCTTTCTTGAGAGGAAAGAGAAAGAAAAGACAGCAGTGAGATGTGAGAACGATGAGGTGAAGAAAAAGGTCTATCTATCTCCTTTGGCTGTGTCTCACAGCCTCCCGCATCGACTAGTGCTTTTTCGTTTTTTTTGAATGGCGCAGAACAGTGGTGCAACTTGCTGAGCTGAGTAAGACAGTGATATCTTTTGTATGGGCGTTATCAGTAAATGAGACTCTTTGACTGGAGGTGATGGGACCTGGATTTTCTTAGAACCGTTATCAGTCCAGGAACAATCACGAGGCCTTTTCTGATCAAGAATTGAGCTGGGTACTCGAAGGGGGAGGAGGTAATGACCAATACTGAATACCGTTGTGGGTCTCCATAGCGTGAATGTGTGTGAGAGCCATAGCAGAAAAAAAAACGTGGCTGCAATGGCGTGCAGTAGGTAATGCAACAACAGACAGACAGACAGACAGACAGAGAAGGCAGGCAATGGCAAAGCATTAGGTTCTTTCTCTTACACACCTAAAATATAAAAAAAAAACGTGCGATGATGCGAAACTAAAGTTGTTGAGGTGCTTTTGCTTGCACGTTTTACTTAGAGTTTTTTTTTTCTTCCTCCTTCCCGCTCTATATTCCTCTCTGTCACACCATTCCCCACCTCTGTCTGCGAATCGATGACTCGATGGCCAAGGAGCAAGCAAAGTGAGAAATTGTATCTATATACTTTCCATGTGGCAAAATAACCAATTTTTCGGATGCACAAAATAAGTGCCCTGCCTCGCATACCTTTCTTAACTGGCTTTTTTTACTCGCCTGCCTGCATCTTATGTTTGCCTATCGGATGAGGACGGGACAGAGGCTTGCCCGATCTTAGCCGACACTTCCACACACCTCCCTCGACCAAGTACATACGAAACCGAGAAAGTTGTATAAGCGAACAAAAAACTAGCCTATTCATATGTGTGTATCACTTGTTTTTGGCGGGTGGGCCATGTCTATTCTGCCCAATGCCCCGTGTCTTATTACTTTGTGTGTTCGAGAGAGTGTAAAAGTGAATGGTCTTGGCTGCTTGGTGACGACAGTATTCGCTATGCTTATCCCTTCATCACAAGCAAAGCAAGCGAGCAAGAAACACGAACACAAAAAAAAAACAACCAGAGGACCCAGGGCAAGTTTTTTTTTTTTTTTTGTTCACCTTGACAAGAGCAATACCGATCTATCCCCTGACCTGAAAGGAACTCCCATAATGGTGTCATGGACAAGAGTCGATGATGCTTATGAATCTCCTATTTGTGCTCTATCACGACAAACGTAGAGAAACAAACGAAAACAAACAAACAATTGCCTCCCAAAAAGAGTATATTCTCTCGGGTGGGGGAAACACAACCACAATTGAAGTGTAAGCAGAACACAAAAGTAACAAGCGAAAAGAGAGAGCGTGGAAAGAAATAGCATGTGAAAAAAAGTCTCCGCTTAACAATGTTCAGGCTTTACAGTAGAATACTGATTCTGCTACAGTGCGACCAAACATGTGTGGAGAAAAAAAAAAAAAAAAAAAAAAGATAGACAAGCAATCGTTGAAATCTTAGTTAACCCTCTCTAAAACGAGCTCTTCTACCAAAAATTCAAACTAAGAAGGTATAGTTCATTTTAAATGGTGCTATGTTTCGATCAACCCCGGTCAGACTCGAAAGATACAATGCAGTCTACCAGAGTACTGTTTCTCTTTTCCCAGCCAACGGAATCCTTCACATGCGACCAGAAGTTCGATATATATCCTCATGTATCCCAATGCAATTGTTATTTGCTTTTTTATTGATGTTGTTGAGCACAGGGCCGTCCGTTGACATGCACCGTCGGTCGGTGTACGGGATGCAGGGACCATCTTCTACTCCTTCACTCCCATGTTCCGATGGGAACGGGTTGTGTTCACTTGTGTTGTACCACCGTCTTCAAAAGAGTCGGGATTCCCTTGCATCTCCACGTTTTTTATGTTTAGCAATTGCATAGAAGTTGAGCGTTGATTGAATAAAACGGACAACTTGTGTGTAGTTTTTTTGTTTATTATTCGTTTAAATCCAACAAAAAAAGGAAGTGAATATGATGATGATAGTGGTGCTCCACGTCCACATGCAATCCACAGAGTATGAGCATGCCAAATGCCAATGCCAATGCCCAAGAAAAAAAAAGAAAAAAAAAGAAAGTCAAAAAAGTCAAAAAAAAAAAATGTCGGGTGCGTTGGCACCATCAAGCGTATGGCACACTTGCATTCTCAGTTACGACAGATGTTCACGTTCGTCTGACACGTTCACACCAACGATCCCTCATCATAGTCATCCTCATCCTGCTCGAGAAAGTCGCTCAGATCGGTGCGACCCTTGCCGACTGCTCCGTCATACCGTCCGTTCGTTAGACCGTTATGATGACCATTGTGGCCGTTCATATCATCCAATCCACCAAAGAAATCCTCATCGTCATCCAGATGGAACACTCCGCCATGAGGAAGGGTTGACTCCTGGGGACCTTGATTTCCACCACGCTTGTTCGAGCCACCTCCGACGTGACCTCGATCATGGCCAATAAACACTGACGCACTTCCGGGCATATCCACCTCGTTGTCTCCATCAGGCGAAAACATCATCATCGTACTCTGAGCCATCGAGTTGATCGGCGCCTCCAAATGATTGGTCTTGCCCAAAGAATTGTTCATGCTGCCTGGGTTTTGGGTAGGAGTGTGGCCTTGACTATTCGTTTGCGCATGGTGGGGCGACGAGCGGCTCGAGGGCACAAATCCAGATTTCAAGTGGTGCTTGGGTGCTGATGAGCCCGAAGCGGTGCCATTCAAGGGCGAAGGGGAGTCACCAAATGATGACACCATCGGCGAGGTCGACGACGAAGGTGTGTTTGTAAAGCCTGTCATGGGAGCGACAGTGGCAGAGAGGGAAGGGCTGGCATTCGCCAGTGATCCGTTCCTAGATTTAGACACCTGTTCAGCAGGAGGGGTCGACAAGAATGTCTGGTGGGTGTACTGTGCGGGCTGACCCATCGATCCAAAAAATGTCGGCTTGGGGCTGCCTGAAGCGTTGCCAAGGCTAATCAAGTACGCATCCTCAAAGGACAACGTGGCTGCTATGAAGAAACACAACACAAACATTTTTTAACTTATCGTAGCAAGGGATAGTGGTACACTGTGTAAACATGTGAGCAAATTAAACAAAGCATGCGCATTGATAACGATTTCTCACCTCGAAACGATGAAGGGCTGACACTGCCGACAGAGGGCGACATGCGACTTTGATTGATAGGAGAACTAGAGTGGGTCTGCAGGTATGACTTCATTGCAGAGGACAAGTTCTCGGACAAATCCTCAGCATCGCCATCGTGGCTCTCGACTCGTCCGTGGCCTCGCACACCCCGACCATCTGCAGCAACGGCAATGCCCGAGATCCATGGCCTGTTGGCGCCCTGGAGATCCCTCGAGGCATCAGCTGTCGACCGTGGATCCTTTCCTGCCACAATTGCCACACCGCGACGCAGATTGAGTGTCTTCACTGCAGTCGCCTTGCCTTCAATAAAATCCTGATGGACCTCGTCCACTGAGCCAACGTAGTTCTGGAAGGAGAACTGAGGAGATTTCCATAGCAGATGCTGGGGTTGAGTCAGAGTGACGGTCGTAGCAAGTGACCCCTGAGCGGCAAGGGTCTGGTTCAAAAGTGGGTATTGGCCCTTCCATCCAGAATGCATTCCGTTGTCATAAGTCGAAATCTCAGCGTGGGCGAGCCACCGCGACGTGGCATGCCCTGATGTCGTATGGGGCGTGCTCTTCTTGACCTTGCCATTGGTGTGTTGTTGTGCTGCCTTGGTTCCTGCAGGCAGAGCGAGCGACCTTTTGACTGGCGCCCAGTCCCCAGACCGGTTCAGCGTCCATTCCGCCACATCTTCTGGTGCCAGCAACAAGTCGGACGTTTCCACAGCACGACCTAAATGACCAGTTCCAGCATTTTGAAAGGAATACAAAGGTCAGACACAGTTCAATACAGTTTCGTGCAATATATAAAAAAATGACTGTCAGACTTTACCGTTGTATGTCTTCTTGGTTCGGACACTACTGACCCAGCATCGGTGCAGAGTAAGCATTCCCAATGGGTTAAAGACATAAACATCGGCAAAACTGGGACCGCGCTCTGGCTCTACAAGCGATCCCTGCGAAGCTAGCTGTTGCTGGACTGCCAAGGAAGCGTCAGAGTCCTTGACGCTGTTGTCTTTGGATGAAGCAGCGGTTGATCCACCCTCGCTTTGGCCATCTCCACGGGTATCTCGAGAGCCTGCAAGGTGAGGGTGGTGCTTAGGTGAGTTGGGCTGGATGTTTGCTCCAGTCCAGCTCATTGTTCGGCTTCGAACTGTCGCCACAGGTCCACGTCTACTTGTCTCCACGACGAGTCCAGGAAGACTGGCCAGTCCATGTGCGGCATGCTGGACTACAGCGGCTGCAGGAGGGCTCAGGGTCTGCCAAAGCTGTGATGCTGTCGACTGAAGGCGAGCGGTTGTACTCACTGGAGGCGCCTTGGAACGGTTCATCAACAAAGTGCTCGAGTTCTGCGCTGTGGAGGAGGTGGAGCTGTCCCGTCGTCCTGAATCTCCTGACCCTGGACCAAACGGCCCATCGATACCACCATCAAATTCACCGGGCGAGAGGGCTACACTTCCTGGATCCGAAGCAAAGACGGTCGACGAGGGCAAAAAGTGGGTCGCAATCATCGCGCGCTGGCGTCCTCCGTTGAACGAACCATAGTTCTGCTGCAGTCTGCTCAGGTATCCCTGACTGGTATCCGAGTTTCCAGTTCCCGTCGAGCTCATAGAGTCCTGTGAGTTTTGTCGACGAAGAGAGCCGCGTCGTTTCTCTCCTGCTCCTGGGGCAAAGAGATCCGTGCCACCATCCAAATCATATCGCGAAGACAGGATCACATCGGGGACGTGATGCCGTTGCTTGATACGACAGAGTGCGTTCAGACTGGTTGGGTATTCGATAGCTGTGGCTGTCCAGTTGACGACGCCTGTGTACATGTGTGCACCGACATCAGGAGTACCTCCGAATGGGTTGATAGCGTAAAGATGGGTCGTTCCTCGGGATGTCGTCACTGCCACCCATGTCTCGTCCTCATTGAAGACAATGTCCTCCACGCTGGCATGGGTGATACCACGGGCAAGCTTGTAGACATGTCTGGAGCCAGGGTTGACGGCAGGCCTGACTTCGTGGATATGAAAGACGTTTCCGTGGCGTGACACCGTGAGCAGCAGCCTTCCAGAGGGTGAGAATTTGCATCCTGTGATCGGGTGGTCGTGTGGTTTGAAATGGGCAACAATCGGCATGTTAGACAGCGTGATATCCCTGACTATGACCTGTAAGCAAACGAAGCATGAAAATGATTAGTGAAAGCCCTGGCTGTCATCCCTTTTTTTTTGTCCAGCGACTCATAGAATGCAAAGAAGGCAAGTGAACAAAAGACATACTGTTCCAATAGCCTCTTTCTTGTGAGGAGAGTTGTCGTCGTGTCTACGTCTGTGGGGGAGATGGGGCGACGTCCGGTCATGGTCAGCGGATGCTGAGGCTCTCCTGACATGTCTGTGAGGCGATCTGTTGAGTCCAGATTGAACGGGAGGAGAGGTCGATGCAGTTGCGTTTGCTCCTGACGCTCCTGACCAATATGACGAGAACGTCTGATGTGCGTAGCCGCCTATACAGGAATAAGATAATCCTCTTGGTGGTCAGTCGAGGGCTCATGCGGATCAATGCAGAACGGATATACCATAGAGAAAGCTTGACAATAGTCTTACCAAGCATCTTCACTCCTCCAAAAACTTCCTTGGCGACCCCCTTGGCCAGATCTTGATAACCTCCACCGCCATCTGACTCTTCGCCATGCTTGGTATCGGAACTGTCGCTGGGTGATTCACTTGTTGTCACATAGGCAAGCAATCTTGTACCAAGAGCGAGCACTCCTGGGTAAGCGACGTCATTGAGAGCAAGTGGCTTTGCGTGCATCGCCTGCAGTGTCAACTGGTTCAACATAAACAGACGAGTTCCTTCTCCTGGTGCAGTCATGGTCTATTGCGTTGTCATAATTAATGATAAAAGACAGTTAGAGATCAAGTTGTATTGCGAAATATGTATAGTTATTCGGCTCAGCCTCCAGACAGCGTTCGATAGCATACCACGACAAGTTCACGTTCGTTGACGTCCAGCGCCGAAATATCATAGTCTGGCCCAACTTCAAAGTTGGGAGCCATGACAACCTGGTGAGTCGCGAGAGAGTATATCTCCAGTTTCTTGTGAGACGTGCGGCCTTCATCGGTCCTTTTGTTTGAGCTATTAGCGATAAACACAAGGGAAAGGAGTATCACAATTAGCAAGTGACTCACATACGCACTTGCAGGCCCCCTTCCTTTTTTCAAAGCGAATCAAAGAAAGAAAGAAAAAAATGCGAGCGAAAAGGAAGGGATGCATACATGACAGCCAAGAGTGGCCTATATTGCTCGAACAGATCGAACTTTCCGGTAGGCACCCGCGGCGATGGAAGGACCTGTGGAACATAGACCAAAAGAAGGGGGAGTCACACGGTTAGACCCTGGTGCGCTTAAAGCTACCGCAGTCTATTCTCACTCCTTGTCATCCATCATGCGAAAATTTTCCAAAAAGCACAATGCAGGACCGACGGTGAAAAAAAAAGAATGAAAAGGAACAACAAAAGGACAGAGGAAGGTGGGCGTGGGTTTATATAAAAAAAAGCCTGAGCGTATGCGTATACGCATTCGTCATTCTCCATGGTCCACTGAAAACTGTCCTGATGGGGGGTTTAATGCAATGATCCTGACAGTGATAATCCGTAAATTGGCCCGTTTTGAAGGGCGTCATCGAGAGGCTGAAGATCGCAGTGAAGGATGGAGTTGTGTGGTTATTGGATCTCTTTGTCCCAGACCTGTGCTAAAATAGCTCCCTTCCTCATTCTCCACGCGTACTCTTCCTGTTCCTTTGTCAATGGTCTCTCACAGCTGGTTCGTTTTCCGGCTTACCTTGAGTAACGACACTTCGTTGTTTGGGTCACGGGCAGAAAAGATCTCGTGAATATTGTCTGGGTGGGTGATGTCCCAGATCTGCATGCCATCTGCGTACCCGAGCAGGAGACAGAATCGTCTATTTTAAAATAAGATCAAATACAAAAAAAAAATTGTCAAGGAGACAGACACGACAAGGAAAGAAAAAAAAGAAGGAAGAATGTGTTGAGTTACTCGGATCGTAAAATACTGTGAATCGGCAGTTATGACGATATCGCATTTCTCTTTTTCTCACACACAGAGGCCCTCCTTGTTCATTCATTCAACACATATACGGGATAAACTCAAACAGGCACGCAATATTCTCGCTCATCTCTCTCTTCCTCACCCTTCATGCTCTCGCTATCTCTCTTCCCCCGTTCTCTCTTTCTCTCCTCCTGACAATGTGAGTCATGAGTGCATACCGAGATGTCCTGTTCTTGGCCATGGGTCCTGCATCGATCCAGTCAAACGCAGAAAAGTGAACTACATCGCCGTTGGTGAGAACACAGACGCTGTCCTGGTTGCCACCAAGAAGAGGGTTGGAGGTACCCTGTGCTGTTGGGTAATAGTAAGGACTGGACGGGTTTCCTGGAAAGGCTGGACTCGAGGGTGAATTGAATCCACGTGTCGGCATTGAGAAAGATGTTGGGAGGGTGTTGGCGACATAAGAAGAGACTCCTGTTAGGACTGACGAAAGTGACTCGAGTGCGGAAGGATCCCTATAGTGATAATGTTCAAACTTTCGTCTTGTCAGTCGAAGAGTATTATTATGACATGGTGGCGAGAGTGTCACAAGTCCTCTAGAATGAGAGACGTGAGCCTTTCTTTTTTTGTGACTGACCTGATGAAGACGGGCTCAGCCCGGACCCCGGTTTGGCCTTGCTGCAGCTGCTGTTGGTCGGCCATACTGACTTGACGAAGGGATGGAAAAAGTGGGCGTGAAAGAGTGGAAGGGAGAGCGAGGCGACTGATAAAAGTCAGCACACACGAAGGGTCGTGTCCAGGGTTAACGCTGCAGGTAAGGAGGTGTCAACGAGGAGCTTTCTTTTTGTAATTTTTTTGCGATGGGTATTGGGTATTGGGTATTGGTTGGTATGTAGTTGTGGTTGTGTGTGTTGCAAAGTGCGATGTAGGATGAATGTGAGTAGAGGGTTGACTGATGAAAGGGAAGATGGAGTAGAAAAAGAGACGTAAGCGTTTAAGAAACGAGAGAAGGGAAGAGAAAAGGAAGGAAGGAATGACAAAAAAAAAGAAGGAATGAATGCGACAGAGAACAAAAATATGAACAAGCACACACTGCCCCGAAGCCTTAGGACCGCCGGACTGCGCGTAAGTTGCAACCATCATCATCATTTGCCTACAGTCCACGTGAACAATGGGCTAATTCTGTTGGGTCAAATCATGTGACCCTTCGTGTTAGAGGCACGCAGTCAAAGGTTCCTTTATTCTTCTGAAACAAGTTTTTTTTTCTTCACCGTGAAGGGCGTGCAGTGGTGACCCAGCTGAATCGGACCCGGTCCAAGGATGCCTTCATGTACGGTGACCCATCGTGGTCACTGTGTGCCAGCTTCAGTTCAGACCAGTATCGGTGCAGTCCATCCTCCAGTCGCCTGTTCGCAATGACCCATCGCAGACGACACGTCTTGTAGAATAAATCTTGTGCTGCCGCTGATGTCGTCATGGTGGTAGTAGTGGTAGTGGTGGATGACGGTGGCGATTGTGATCCCTGCACTGCCTCACGAGTCTTGGATGACCCTCCGTTCCCTTGTTCTCTCAGTCGCCAGGAGTGACTCTGATCAATAATGTCACGGACCACCGCATACAGCTGGTCCGAGGTAATGCCATCACACCCAATCAGCTCCAGTCGCTCCAGGTGATACATCTCGGCGACAACTTTGGGCCAGCCTTGGATTGCAAGCGTCTGCCAATTTCCTACCAACTCCAGATCCTGCAGAGTAACCAACCGGGTCAAGTAGTGGATCGCGGGTTGTCGTCTGGGCTTTGGACCGGTGAAACCCAGGCGCATGCGACACAGTCGAGGGCAATTCATCAAGGATCCATAGTCAAACGTCCATGCGACTTCGCCCTCCAAGTCCAGCTCCGTCAGCCTATTAAGAGTCCTACTCGGCCATGCCAAGGGTACTGTGATGGGCTTGCCGCTGAACCATGTCCTTGCTGAAATGGCCTCCAAACTCGCCGCAAACAGATCGACCGCCTCGTTGATCACGGCAATGACATTCGGAGCCGATCCTGCAATGTTGATCCTCTTGATTGGACTCATCGTGAGAATCTGCCTTCCTTGCCAGCCGTAGTTGGACGCTGATGGTTGTTGTTGTTGTTGTTGTAGACTCCTTTGGTATTGAGGTCTCCAGGCGGCCAATAGATCCCGCTCATCCATGTACATGCTGAATTCTTGCAGATCTGGGCACTGAGCAAGAAACGTCGCCATGTTCTCTTGAGCGGCAAAGATGGGTCCTGGCTCCTTGCTCAAATGAAGCAGTAGCCGCCGGAGATGTCGTGTAGGTATCCTGTCCAAAAACAAAATGGCATCCGGCCAGTGACGAACCTCCAATACTTCAAGACGTTCCCCCATTGCCTCCACCAGCTCGATCAGGCGCTTACTCGGCTGGTTATTCAACACCACAGGCTTGTCCTCGATCCGCAGTTCCCGGAGGGTCCCAAAGATCCGCTGGTGATCCCAAATAAACATCAACATCCTATCTAGTCGTGTGATCTTGTAGCCCATGGATCCGCGTGTCGTCCTATTCATGGGCAACACCTGCGCAGCCTGCAGATCGTCCTCGGTCAGCCAACACAGGTCGGTTCCAATCACTTCCAGGCGACGCAGGTTAGACATGTATCCGATCCTGGTCCGTGGTACCTGGATGGGCATGGCGACCGTCAACGAGGTGACCTGGGGCAAAAGGCGATCCATCATGGCGTACTCGATCCTGTTCCGAGTTTCGACCATGGAGCGGTACCAGATTACGTCGGTTTGGTAGCAGTTGGGGATGGTTGGAAAGAGTGTCATGAATGTCTGGTGCAGCATTGGGTCGTGGAACATGTCGGTGTAGTAGGAGAGGTAGTCGATGGTCGAGGGTGACGGCAGTGGTGTGACCTCGGGTCCATATCGCGGTAGGTCCATGACCCTGCGTCCGTTTTCGTCGATATGGGATAGTAGATGAGAGGATTGGATGAGGAGGTGGAGCAGGACGTCGTAGCGCCTGGTCTTTTCGATCACATTCCAATGGTAGTTGGGTTCTTCGTCGAGGATACGAAAGGGGCTGGAGTAGAGGAAGGAGACGGCGATGCGAAAGAAGGTCGAGTTGGTCAAGAGCAGGGCATGGAGCGCAGCCCTTTCACGGCGAAGGTAAGAGACGATCAGCCAGAGGCATTCTTCGGGCACAGATGGCATGGCATTGGCAGTGTTCAGTGCGATGGAGCTGAATGTGAGGAATGGTAAAGAGAAAAGAAAAAGACAAAAAAAATCGCTGCGGGTGGCTTTTATTTGGTTGGATATCTGGTTGTTTTTATTACAGTGATGAAAAGCTATGCACATGGAACACTCAAAGGTGCTCCGCTTAGGCCATAAGGGCCTCGATCTCAGCGATCTCCTTGGGGGCAATGGTCAAGTTATCAATGCCGGTCTCGGTAATGACAATGCAGTCTTCGATACGAACACCTCCGACCTTGGCGAAGCGGTCGACAACAGCCCAGTCCATGTACTTAGAGATCTCGGCGTTATTCTTGGCCTCGTTAAGGATAAACTCGACAAAGTACACACCGGGTTCGACAGTGACAACAAAGCCAGCCTCGAGCTCACGACGCATGCGCAAGTACTGGAGGCCAGGGGCCTGGATGCGGGCAACACCCTTGGGGTATCCTCCGACATCGTGAACATCCAATCCGATCATGTGACCGAGACCGTGGGGGAAGAAAACACCATCGACGTGCTTCTCGAGCAACTCCTCGATCGAGTATTCAGCCTTGATGGCACCAGCCTTCTGGAGACCCTCGACAGCAATCTTGGCAGCAAGTCTGTGCATATCCTCCCACTGAACACCGGGCTTCAAGGCAGCAATGACGGCCTTCTGCATCTGAAGGACAATCTCGTAGACAGTCTTGGCGTCACCGGCGTACTTTCCGTTCAAGGGGAAGGTACGGGTGATATCCGAGGCATAGCAGCCCTGCTCGGCGCCAGCATCGACCAAGCACAATTGGTCGTGGTTTCCGTTGAAAGAGGCAGAGTTGCGTCCGTAGTGAAGAGTAGCGGCGTTGGAGCCGACACCGACGATGGGCTCGTAGGCTTGGGCGCGGGCACCGAAGCGAGCGGTCTCGTATCTGAAAAGGGCGTCGAGCTCAATCTCGGACTGGGACTTCTTGGCAGCCTTCATCAAGGCGACGTGAGCGTTGGAGGAGATGTGGTTGATCTTGCGCATGGCCTCGATCTCGTAGGCAGACTTGTACATGCGGGCGGTGACGATGGCATCCTTGAGCTGATCAGCATCGACGGTCAAACTGATGCCCTTGGGGACATCCTCCTGGCGAAGAACATAGAGGGTGGAGGCGCCGGACTCGTTGATGGCGGCGGTGAGCTCAGTCGACCAGCGAATGTTATCAAACTCGAACTTGGTGGCAAGCTGGGCCTCGGTAGGGGGCATGCCCATCCAGACAATGTGATCCTCGGGGAGCTTGTAGGGCAACAGAGTCATCTGCTGGGTCTTCAAGTCGTAGAGGACATGGCCGTCGTGCTCGGCGAATCCAGTCAAGTAGTAAAAGTTGGACTCTTGTCTGAAAGTGAGTTCCTATTGTTGCAATGGGTTAATTGAAAAAAAAGAGTCAATTGGTTGTTGCAAGGTGTACATGCAACATATTACATTATGTTTCATGAATGACTTACGACGTCGGTATCGTGTCTCTCCTTGAGAACATCACCCTTCAAGTAGACGAGGCCCTCGGTGAGTCCGAGGTTCTTGGCGACCTTGGCCCAGTGCTGCTTGGCGGGGTACTTGGTGACAGTCATGACTAGAGGCAAGAAGGAGAGTGCAAGGTACAAGAATGAGTAAGGAGGGTTAATGAGAGAAAGAGGAAGAGCAAGAGAAAGAAGGTGCTGTGATAGGTAAGAGGTTGTGTGTGTCGGTTAGCTTACTGTATGTAGGAAGGATGAGAACGATGGGGGGGGTGGGGGAGATGAGGAGAAAGTGGAAGAAGGAACAAGAAGAAGAGCCGTGGGAAGAGTTTCATTTTATGCGCAAACTAGCCTTCCCCTGGGTCTTCCAGGGAACAGACCGCTTGTTTGTTCAGCCACCCCCTCCCCTGGATGAATCAGTCGAGACCCAGTCAAGTTCATGGAATATTTCCGAAGGAAAAGAAGGACAAGAAACATTACAGCTCCCGGTCAGGACCCAGGTACGTACAGTCGGGGCTAGACGGCCATCAATACAGCCAGGAGCCCTGCTGGGTGCGGGGATAGAACTTGTCCTCCAGTCCTCGCTGTTTCTTCTAATGCTATCTTGCTGATGATGATGATGATGGCATGCTAGTGTACTGGACGTCAATTGTGCTGGTGCGATTTGTCTCCACAAAAGGAATCGATCGACAACATCGCATGGCAGCGGAGTAGACGGGGAAGCAATTACGATGCCCCTTAACACATCTCCATTCACACTAACTCATTTACCTCCGCCTTGTGTTTTCTGTGCGTGCTCATCCATCAATACACCCCAGACACATCCACAGTAACCCACTTCTCATTGTTCAAGACAAAGGAACATCCATCGACCCGCAAAGTGAGTGCCATTCGGTTCTAAAGTACACAACGTTACTCTCAAGATAGCAGGAGGAGACTACTGAACGACCACAACAACAATAACGACAACAATAACAATAGCAAGCAAGGTGCAATTGCACTCTCTTCAACAGAGAAACCGGAATGACTTGAGAGTGCCCTCCCTATCGCTGCGAGGGTGCAACTCTGTGAAAAAGCAATCCACACAGTCTTATGCTGCTGTGGTAGTCGAGCCTCGTTCCATAAGGATATCTTTCGTCAATTGACAGGGATGTTCAGGAAGGAGGTGTCCGATAGTAATATCTTTCGGCTTAAATCCGCGCGCCTGTTCACTTTTCCGTGCAATACAAAATCCCTGCCTTTGTTCCCTGTTTACCCTAATTGAAAATAATAAGAGTGCCTTTACGCGTCACCCGGTCGAGTGTCACTGGAGGCTGTTTACAACTCTAAAGAGAATGGGAAATCCACACGGTCTTATGCTATTGTGGTAGTCGATCCACGTTCCTTGAGGAAGAAGTCTTCTTCTTTGCTCATAGCCATGGGACTCTCGTTAATGACAAGAGAGTTTCTTTCCTGTGGTGGTGGAAGGTGGTGTTCTTGAAGTGTTTTTATTTGCGCTTTGGCTTAAATCCGCGCTCCCTATTCTCTCTATTATTTTCAATGGGTGTTGGGTGTTGGTGTTTTTCTAGAGTGCGCCTTATATGAAACGAATGAATCGTTGATGAATACTGACCCACTTTGTATCTTTTTGTTCGTGTGTTTTTGTGAGCCAAAGCGACTCAAACTAGGGAACAACAGCAAACAGCTCACGCAGGACGCGACCACAGAACATATGAACTACTGCAACATATGCCGCGTCAGCACAAAAATAAAATGAACGACGTCTTGTGTTAAATAAGTCTTATGTTAAATAATTGAACCGTTATTATTTTCAATGCGCTTTCTTGAAGGGTGGACTGTCCGTCGTGGGCTTAATGCGCTGAGCAGCGCGTCCAAGGATAATCTTCTCCTTCATACTTAGGAAAGGAAGCGCCCCCCGGACGCAGATCTCCTCTGCCACCATATGTGCAAAACACAACGAGTTCCTACAACTCGCCCGGAACTTCTTCTCAAACCCTGTGCTCATCTGTAAAGGAATATCGCACGAGTCCATTTGCCATAGCCGATGCTCCCCACGAAAATCCATCTTATAAAAGACCAGTCGATGCGAAAAGAATTGGATACCAAACGTCGCCAGATCCTGATGAGGGTGGTAGGACTGCACAACCTTGCGAACAGTACTGTCCCAGCTGTCCTTGAGCGCACGCCCGAGCTTCCACTTGTCCTCTGCAAACTTGCGCTTGTCCTTTTCGTATATTGAGGAACATTCGGAGAGGAGGACTTGGTTGTCTTCTGAGTCGACCGCAATCATGTCCGCTCGACGACTCTTTTCCATCCGCTCGCCATAGTCCTTGTCTGCGTTCTTGCGTTCTCCGGATGCTGTAATGGCGATCTCGCTCATGAAGGATTCGATGTGGTACACGTCCAGTGCTCCTTGGATAAACGGGCAAAGGATAGCGAACATCCCTTGTTTCTCCTCCAGTGCCGGTATGACTGTTTTCCAAGGAAAGTATCTGGAGCTAGCGGGCATATTAAATAAAAAAGCATTAGCGTTGCATCTTGCTTCTCGGATAATCCTTCTCGCTGTCCACTTGATTCCATACAGCCACTTACTATGCGTGGACGACGCCATATAGAAATCGCCGGACAGGAGTATTCAACGGCGTGTTAAACATCCTTTCACTGATCGCCTCGAACGAACAGTCTTCACCCAAGAGCTCATCTAGCTCTGTCAACTCCTTGAACTTCTGCGTTAACATTGGTTGGTCCTCCAAGATCGTCAGTAGGTCTTGGTCGTCTAATGTCGCTGTGAAACGAGAACCAAGCGTCAGGTCCATGATGCCATCGGGAGATAGATCCAAAGTCCAGTTCTGGTCTTGACGGTACTCCTCGAATCTTGGGAGGATGTTGGACCATCGGGTTCGCTGATTAAGCAGTGCAAAGTGACCCGCAATGGACAGGCTTGTATCGCGCTGGGGATCATCTTCGGTAACAGCCGGGGAACTCGTTGGCGGCGGCGATCCCTGAAAGAACTCGATGCTGTCAGAGTCGTGGTTGAAGGCGGATAACGCGTCGGGTATTTGTGTTGATAATATTGGTGTTAGTGATCCTGGGTATCGGACATGCGTCGTTTGCTCTTCCGTTATGCCTGTTGGGGACTCTGATCCTCCTGTCCTTGTCGCCTTCAGGGATTGCTTGCTTAGCTTCCCCTTTCTGACTTCTTTGGCGAGGTCCTTTGACTGCTGCAGGGCAACATTGATCTTGTCCTGTGTTACCAGTGGCCTTAGACTAGCCTTCAGCTTGCGCTAATGGTACATCCAATTAATGTGCTTAACAATGTTTTCTCCAGGGTTCGAAAGTAATTGCAGGAGAATAAAAAATGGAAGCAAGTAAGCTTACATCGGCTACGACGATACTGAATATTTCGAGTCGTTCTGGTTGTTTGACGCGAGAGAGTCGATTGTATGCAGCGCGGTCTGCCTCGCGTTCAGAGTTCCTGAGGCGACGGAGTGCCTGGGATGTCCACAGCTGGTCGAGAGTGGCGGGGTCGAGTGAGTCGGCTATTTTTGCCCAGTCCTTGAGGTTGAACTGGCTGGCGGGTGTGGAGTCGAAGTAGCGTGTCTGGTCGTTGTTCATATTTGGAGGAGATGATAGCACCAACTGCTGTTGAAGTGATGATGGTGGGAAAGAGGGAAAAGAGTGCACAACGAAACAAGCAGGTAAAACGACAGATGTGGTGGATGGAACAAAGCCACTTGTTCAGGGGCGAACTCTCTTCCCTCGGCTGTTTCTCAACCGAGGCGAACTCTGTCAGAAAAATGATGCAAGGCACACACACACACACTGCAACAAAGTGGGCGATCGACTTTCTGGACCTTCTTTTTCTCCCCTCCTTCCCTCTCTTCTTTTCCTCTTCTTCTCTTCTTTTCCTGTTCTCTTCTTCTCCACCACATCCTATCCTTCCGCGGCCCATGTTCATCCGTCTCTCTCTTTCCCTTGATTGAACAACTCGTACCCGCTCCAACTACCTTCTCGCATTCACATTCTCCCCCTCCCCATTTTACATTTACATTCCCTTTTTTTTACGCTCATGACAACCAAACCCAACACCAACGGTCAGGCCACTCCGACACCGCCAGTCACCATCGGGTCGCTCACCAACCTCAAGGTCGCCGTCCCAGGAGCCAACCTCAGCCTCGCCGGTGTCCTTCAATCGACCAACCACCCTTCCCGTCGGCTTGCTATCATCTGCCATGGTATCCTCGGTAAGGACTAAAATGAGGCGGACAAGACGACTAGGACCTGACCGGCGAATACTATGAGAAACCCTCGCTCGTTCGATGACCCGGCATTGCCCCCAGCATTCTAACCCCGCGTTTCTCCTCTACTATCCTCCCTCCATTCTCCATCAATCGATCGACCGGATCCTTCTCTGCGCCTTCCTCATAGGCCACAAGAACTACCTCTTTCAGCCCACCATCGCCAATGTGCTTGCCCCTCATATGGACACCTTCCGGTTCGATTTCCGGTAAGGTTGCCGATTTGATTTGAACCGGATTCAATCGACGGTCTTGTGCGCCAGTCGCCGCCTTCCACCTCTTGTTCATGTCACACCTGAGCTGAGTGCCCCAATGAACCATTTGCATACCCTACACACTCACCTTCCCTTTTCTTTCCTCAACGACAATAGCGGTAATGGCGACAGTGAGGGCCATATGGGTTACTCTAACTGGGACGATGACAAGGCGGATATTGACGCCGTCATCGCTCACTTTGAGCGCCAGGGGTATTATATCTATGCCCTGATCGGACACTCTCGAGGTAAGGCATATCCTTTTGTTCTACTGCATAAGAGCACTCTTCTTCTGCAGGAATTATGACATACCCCACTCCCAAACAAGCTCTAATGTTCACTTTTCACTTTTTTCTTTTGTTTACCTCGGTTCGATCCGTTTCAGGGGCCATCTCGTCCTTAAACTATGCCGCGACCTCACATCATGTCCCCATGATTCCTTACATTGTCAGTATCAGTTCCCGCTTTGACATGTCCGATGTCAAGCGCAAGCACGGACCAGAGGTCTTGGAATTGTTGGAGAAGCAGGTAAAGCGTGTTCAGGGGACATATGGCACATGTCTGCGCTTGGATGTTTACATGAAACGCGTCTTTCAGTTACCATTGCTAATGTCTCAATTCGTTGTAACTTTGTAGGGCCACTTTGACTGGCAAGCTCGCACAGGTGGCAAGGATATCACTCTTCGCGTCACCCAGCAACACTTTGACGACTTTTTGAACTTTGACACCGCCGCGGGTAAGGACATATTTCTGAGTGTTGTCACACCTAATTCAACAGAGCCCGACTTTCATCCGTGGGCATGTTAAATAACCGGATGTCCATTTCTTTTACTGTCTGCTAGTCGCCCATATTCCATCGATGACCAATGTCCTTTTGATTCATGGATCCGATGACGATGTAAGTCGTGGCACCACATCATTTACTCGAAACTCGAGACGCAAAGACTGCAGTTTTATATCTTATATCCTGACATTCACTTCATTTTATACCTATAGGTTGTGCCTGTCAAAGATATTGCTGCGTTGCAGAGCCACTTGTCGCATGCAAGGACAGCAATGCGGATCATCACCAACGCGGATCACAACTACCGCAAGCACTACAACGACCTCAGCCAGATCATTGGAGATTACTTTTCCGCAGAAGGACGCAAGTCAGACTGGACCCGCCGCATCCTCCCCAACTGGAAGACCTGGGTTCATGCTGTCGGTGGCGTGCTGAACTTTAGAACTATCGGCGATATCTGGATCCCCTCGCAGACTGATGGCACCGTTAGCTATCTTCGCCCTGGTATCATCTACCGCTGTGCCGAGTAAGTGTGTCTGAAATTGACGATGCGTGGGTTGTTTCTTCGAAAGCTAAAGCTGATCTTGTTCTCGTTTTTGTTAAATAGCATCTCGAAGCCCACCCCTGAGGGCATTAAGGTCTTGGAGTCACTCAACATTACGGACGTCTTTGATCTTCGCTCCAACTCGGAGACGGAACGCCGTGGAACCTTGTAAGTTTCAGGAAGTCAAGGAGTCGAGGAATCAAAGGGAAATACACAGGTCATGGGTATTCATACCAATTAACTCGAACACCCAATATCCTTGTCTCCTTAGTGAAGGAGAAAAGATCAAGCGCCACCATACTCCAGTATTCGCAGAGGTCGACTACTCGCCAGCACAGATTGCATTGCGCTTCAAGATGTACCTTGGAGGCACCGAGGGCTTTGCTCAGGCCTACATGTCGATGATGCCCAACATTCGCAACTTCTTCCCTCCAGTACTGGAGCATATCGTCAAGAAGAAGACACCCTTCATTGTTCACTGTACGGCTGGCAAGGACCGGACTGGAGTTACCTGCGCCCTTTTGCAGATGATCTGTGGAGTCGATGAAGAGCAGATCGCATGGGAGTACGAGTTGACTCGCCGCTGCATGGCCAGTAAGTTGACGATTTCTTTTTCATGCCTCTTCACGAGTTTACCTTTTCTGGTCATACCATGGTATCTAACGATCAATGCTTCTTCCTGCTTTGTGACCGAATAGTCAAGGAAGAGGATGTAGAATTCTTGAAGGCTGCCATCGGAGAAGAGTCTTCCGATGCCCATATCCGCGGTGTTCTCTCCACCAAGTAAGTCTTTTTTTTTTTTTTTCTCTCGCTGCATCTCGTCAATCATTCTCGGCTATGTATTCAAGCTTGTCCATTCTGATCAACTGACCTTTTCTTCTATGGCAACAGCGAGGAGTATATGCTTAGGTTCCTGGAGGAGTTCCATGCCAAGTATGGGACGATTACGGACTTTTTGGTGAATGAGCTGGATATGACGCTTGAGGATATCCAGGCTGTGCGGGATGTGTTGCTTGTCAAGATACCCGTGCCCCGTGCGGCGATGTAGAATCTGACTGGGTCGATCAAATTCTCCATGTGCGCGCCGTTCAGAGACACACTCCTAAAAGTAATAAATAATTCTCTCTTGCCCTTTTATTTCACAACTCCTCTTTCTTGTTTTCCATTCCTTCGATCCATTCCTTGCTCTTGCTCACTTCACCTATTATTGTACATCGCACTCCCTCACTTTTTCATTCTCATCACTCTAACAACAACTCTAACAAACAACGACGGACGACCATGGACATGGAGACAGTCTCACAGATCTTGATGGGACATCAACAACCGTCCTGGGACATTTTCAACGCCACTAGCGCCGCCGCAGGACCCCTTCGCTTCCTAGCTGCCCTGGATCAGAACGACGGATCCTTAGTCTTGCCCCTCTTGATCCTCCTCCCCTTCCTCGTCGTCTCGCTTTTCCGCCACTACACCAACTCACCTGTCATCCTGACCTACAACGACGACCCTACATCGATCCGCCTCTTCAACCAACGGACAGGCAAGGAACAGACCGAGAACCTGATCGATTACATCCTCAAGAAATGCCCCTCGCTCTCGGACCCTGCCAAAGGAGCTACATTCAAGCCCTCGATGTGGATGACTAGTGGACATCTTCAGACTGCCTATGCTGCCTACCGTGACTTTAACAGTATCTACAAGATTCCTTATGAACGGTAAGACGATTTGGTGGAATATGAAAAAGTGGGGAACCTCGGGTACTTGGACAATTTGACAACCAGCCCAGCAAACAGAAAAACAAGAAAGAAGCATACTTGTATTTTCTAAGTTGATCGCCACATGAATAATTTTTTGGGTCTCCGGGGAAATAGTCGCCGAAGAAACAATATCGAGGTTATCTTCCCTCTGTTCGATCGAGCCAATGGTCTCACAAAGCGCTGTCTTCCCATATGAAAGGCATACATGCACACACACACACACACACACGCCCCAAAAGCCTGCTATTCTCAGGTCCATCATTGCCGAACGTTCATCCTTATCATCTCCTTTTTTTCGCATTTCTATCGATAATAGTGAATTGCTTTCAACTCCAGATGGAGGAACTGTCTCGGTCGATTGGGCCCCCTCGGTCAAGACCATGCCTGCTGATGACACCCCTACACTCGTCCTCCTTCACGGACTCACTGGTGGAAGCCACGAGTCCTACATCCGCGCATTGGTCGAGACCATGACCAAGGATCATGGTTACCGCTGTGTTGTCTTCAATGCTCGTGCTTGCGCCAACACCGAGCTGACCTCTGCCCAGTTGTACAGTGGTAACTGGACTCATGATCTCCGCATGGTTGTCAAGCATATCCGCAAGACTCTGCCAGAGTCCAAGTTGATGAGCGTCGGCTTCAGTTTGGGTGCCAACATCTTGATGAACTACATGGGTGAGGAGGGTGATCAGTGCGAGTTCTTGGGTGCCATGTCTGTTGGCAACCCTTTTGACATTCTGGGGTAAGTTCTTAAACGTACTGGCAGCTTTTTTTTGTTCACTAAATGGGCTTCATATCTAACCTTAATCATTGTAACTTTTTAGGTCATCCTTGGCATTGGGACGTGGATGGCTTGGAAGCAAGATCTACGCGCCTGCCATGGGCGGAAACTTGAGAAGGATCTTCATGAAGCACGCCAAGTGGTTTGAGAACTCGGATATCGTGGATATCGATCTTGTCCTTCGTGGAAATTGCATCCGCGACTTTGATGAGGCTGTCACTCGCCGACTCTTCAAGTACAGGACTGTCAACGAATACTACCGCATGGCCTCTTCCTCCCAACGTATCCTCGACATCAAGCGCCCCTTCCTCTGTCTGAACGCTTTGGATGATCCTATTGCCGTGTCGGAATGCTTGCCTCGGGATGAGATCAAGAACAACCCATTTGGACTGTTGGCTACGACTGCACGCGGAGGACATTTGGGTTGGTTTGAGGGATTCTTTAGCCAGAGGAGATGGTGCACCAAGCCCTTAGTTGAGTTCTGTATTGCCATATTTGAGGCCGACCGTAGATCTGTTTCCCGTACCCCTTCGAACAAGCCCAAGGTTGTTGCTGATGTGTCGATTACTGAGGACAAGAAGAATCAGCAGGACGATAACAGCGGAAACCTTGAGAGCCATATTGTTCGGAACGTCAAGACTTTGGAGCATATGGACCAGGGTGGCGCTACAACCATGCCCCTGAGGAACAAGATGGCGGCTGAGCAACATACCCAGAAGGCGAGCCACAGCCAGCCACATGTCGACCGTCAGGCGACCGAGAGACGTGACAAGAAGAACAGTCTCGCCATCCGTCCTTTTTCCCGCAAGTCCTTCTGGGCCACTCTCTTGCCCCTCATCGTCTACTACATCATGAAGCGTCGATAGGTATAGACAATCTTTTCTCATAGACCTTACACACACACCACCATTCATTTTTTCAAACGCATTTTTATTGCCCCATTAAAACCTTCAAATGATCAATGGTTCCGAGGGTATGACACTGCTTCTGAAAAGGATCTGGAAGATCGCCAGCCCAACAGCAACAAAGATCACAAACTGGAAGATCCAACGGGTCCAAACCCTTGAGACACCCTCAACGCTGGTCATTAAATCCATGTTTCTAACAAAGATCTCTCTCGCCTCCTCTGCAATCGCTTCTCGACCCTCAAGCGTTAGTTTGGTCTCGGTGACACCCTCTGCAGGGTTCATCTCTGGGATTGAGTTGAGCCGGTCCTTGAGTGAAGATTTCACCTTGTTCGGGTCCATTTTCTTCCCCTTGCTTCCTTCTCCTGCTCTTTCTGCTGCTCCCGCGGTGGTGGTGGTGGTGGATGTACTTTCGCGGAAGGTAAAGATGGCGATACCATCATCGTTTTCTCCACCGAGTTTCTTGGCAGGTGGGGAGGGAAAAAAGTGTGTGGATTTGATGATTTTTGAACGGGTGATTTGGCCGCCAAAGAAGAGGCCTAGGTAGAGGGTTGCTGGGTAGGCAATTAGTTTTTCTGGCTGGCGCTTTGCGATGTCCCTGATGTGGTCCTGTTATTTTCAGAGAGGGAGTAAAAAGGGAGGGTGGTGATGTTAGAGTAGTAAAGTCATTTGGGCGTAATGGACAGGGATCATAACAAATGCACCCCTCTCCCTCTCCCTCCCCATACGAATAAAAAAAAATCAAAAACAAATGCTCCAGCCATTGCCACACGCCCAATTATTTTCTCTTTTCAAAACAACAGCAAAAACAACCGACGAACCATATACTCCTGGACTTGCTTCGATGGTTGAACATGATCTTTCCAGTCAGGTCCATAAAAGTACGCCAGGTCGGCTTCAAAGGCCTCTGTCCTCCTGAGGTCGGGTGAGTAAGTGTGTTCGACCCATGGGTGAGCTGGCCATTTCTGCTTTTGGCTGTCGATGGTGGATGTTTTCAGGTGTCGGTCGTACTCTTCTTCGAAGGTCTTGAAGACGTAGTAGAAGCCTAGGAGGATCTGGCGGTAGATCTAGTAGAATGAAAGGCGTGTTTTTTTTCCAACGGTTAGTGTAAAGTACCGACGTGTTTTCGTTTGAGCACAAAATAAAAAAAAAAAAAAAAAAAAGAGACGGCGTGTGTGAGTGGAGAGTGTTTGTGTAAGGATGCATACCTGGTAGTCAAGGACGGCAAAGAGGCCTAGGCTGACGAGACGGTCGGTCTTGCCGTGGAGACCCTTTGTCTTTTGACGGAGCTCGTCTGTGAGGGGGAGGAGCTTTGTTGTCGCTTGAGCTGCTGTGGTTACCATGGTGCAGTGAGTTGGAGAGAAAGAGAGTAAAGAGAAGGGACAAAGCGGAAGAAGGTGAAGGAGGAAGAACACAGTTCAACATTCAGGCTATGGAAGATTCTTTGGTCGCACAAGCTTCGCATCACATGCGAGGTAGTGGGAAGTGGGCGAAAGTTGATCGAAGAAAAAAGAAGTGTTCTGTTTCTTGGATTCTTGGACGCGTGTATCACTGTCTGTGTTGCGTAAGAAGAGCAAACGTCCTCAGGCAGCTCGTTACTTTCTTCTTCTTTTACTTTAAACTTCTCCTCTCTTCTCTCTTTTTTCATCGCCCTTCACATTCTCTTCCTTCCTTCCCCCTCCCCCTCCTCAATTATATTCATCCCACAAATGTCCGAAAGAGTCACTCTCTTTGTCTACGACCTGTCCCATGGAATGGCCAGGAGCATGTCCCTCGGCATAGTCGGTCGCCAAATCGGTACTTTCATTCATCCTTCCCGACTGGGCACCCTTTGCTCGCATATTATTTTTGCCTTAGCCTCCTCTCCTCTAAGCAATTGAATGACGATGTTAACGCTTAACCGTTTCCTCGATAGACGCTATCTATCACACGTCGGTCGTCGTCTTTGGGCGGGAGTTCTTCTATGGACAGGGCATTATGAGCGCTATCCCAGGAACTACACCCCACGGACAGCCCATGGAGAGAATTGACATGGGGGAAACTGAGATTCCACAGGAGGTGTTTATGGAGTTTATGGATAACATGCGGGAGACCTACACTGCAGACGCCTACCATCTCCTTAGTGAGTCGACTATCCTCAGAATACCGCCACCAAATAATTTCACGTCTGATTTTACATTCGCTTTCAGCGAAGAAACCTTGGTATTTCAAAACGACTAACACCCCATCCTCTCTGACCTACACGGATATAGACAACAACTGCAACAACTTTTCAAGCGATGTCTGCCAACTGTTGGTCGGAAAGAACATCCCAGACAGGATCACATCCTTGCCAGCAGACTTTTTGAACACACCTTTCGGGCAATCAATGCGGCCCATGATCGAAGGCATGTTTGGACCCAGTCGACACACTCCCAGTCCTTCGCCTTTCGGTCCCCCAGCACTAGCTCCCACCTCTGGACTCTCAACAAACCCCTTCTCGGCACCATCGGCAAGCACAGGTGGCGCCACTGTGCCCTTCATGACTGACCTGTCACTGCTCAGGAGCACGATCCAAAACAATACCGCGACAGTGGTTTATTTCACATCGGCTACATGCCCACCTTGCCGTGTCATCGCCCCCATCTACGACGAGCTGGTTCTCTCAAAGGGCAGTCAGATCAAGGGTGTCAAGGTTGATATTGGAATGGCGCAGGCGATCGGACAAGCATATGAGGTTCGGTCGACTCCAACGTTCATGTTCTTCCTCCGTGGTGAAAAGTTCTCGCAATTCTCTGGAGCCGATCAGGCGGAGCTCAGGAGTAGTATTGATTTGCTCATCTACAGCGCACATCCTGGTAAGCACCAGTGCCTTGGCAAGGAGTAAGGACAATGTCTGATATGAACGTTTTATTAGGCGGTTATTAACAGCATTGTATTTTAACTTTTCTCTGAACTTTAGCTCACCCACATGCGTCGCTGTCACTTCACCAGTACAAGGGACTCTCAGGAACACCCATTGTCTTCAACTTATTTGATAATGTTGACCCCGTGTTTGCCAAACTCAAGACCTTCTTACCTGCTGAGAAGGGTCTCACTGAAGCCGACACCAAGCAGCTGGACAAGATTCAGGCATGGCTCAAGAAGCGTGCTGCCGCCAAAGCCACCCAAACCCCAGAACCTACCATGGGCGAGCTTGGACCCTCTTGGAAGCCTCTCTTGAGTAAGTTCATTAGTCTTCCTTTGTTTGAAATTATGTGGCATGTGTGTGGAGAGAGCTTGACTAACAGTTTGATGGCGTCAATATCCGATTTATTCTTTGTAGCCAAGATTGCGTCGATATTGCCCTATGAGAACCAGTTTCCATTGCTGGACATTCTTCGGATGCTCGTTCTTCACGCACGAGTTGCAGAGGTGTACGCCAAGGACGGGAACCGGACATTGATCAACACATTTAAGGCAGTTGCAACACATGGCAACGAGGGGTCCAAACCTGCAGCACTAATGACTCTCCGGATTGCCTGCAATGCCTTCAGCACTCCACTCCTGGGTACCTATGTTCTTTCCTCTACAGCCCGCGAATCAACAAAGCAGCTTTTGGTTACCACTCTGTTGTCGACAGTCGATCAACAGCGTCAAACTGCTGCCTCGTTAGCATTTGATATCGGTGTCAAGGTTGCGGAATCGAGGAGCAAGGCCAAGGATACTGCACACCCTTCTCTCGGAGGCGATATCTTGGAGGAGCTGGAGGAGGACTGGAACATGGAGTGCCTGAGCGCGATTGCGGCGGCAATGGAAAAGGAGACCTCTGAGGAGATCCTGCACAGGTTGGTGGCATCAGTGGCCAACTTTATCTACATGGAGGAGGGTCATTCTGGATCAGTGTTGATGAATATTTTGGGCGTGCCTGATGTCTTGAAGGAGAAAGTGCAGAGCAAGGTTGTCAAGTCTGCAAATGTTGTGGGGTTGTGCCAAGAGGTCCAAGAGATGATCCGGACGGCTGTCGAGGCGCAATCTGCGTCGTCTTCGTAACCTCTGATTTGAGAGGAAGAAGGCACCTAGAACAAAAAAAACATAGTAAAATGCTGCATGAAAATATGACCCAAGTGTACTGGAAGCTCTGAACCCAGCCACCTCAATTGCATATTTTGCTAACGAGCTCAGGCAGGGACACAATCTCCCCTTTTACTAAGGAAGCTCCCTTCGTCCAAAAAAGGGAAGCGCGTCCAAAAAAGGGAAGCGCATCCAAAAAAAGGGAAGAGGGTCAATAGCCAATCAGACATAGCGCTCCTTCACTCCTTCTCTGCCCCTCACTCCTTCACGTCTTCCATATAGTTACATCCACCTTGCTTCACTCTCAAGTAAAGCGACATCATGTCAAACAAAAGGGAGCCCAGGTACATATGTGCATCTATGGTATTCGCCATCTGTGGACGGATGAGTGGGCGACAAGGGTCCTCTCCAGCATGCTTATCAATCCCTAAGGCATGGATGGTGAATGGATGGCGACCGATATGCTTCAAGAAAACCACAGCTACCTCCTCAAATCCATCTTTTTCATCAAAAGGATCCAACATGACCTGGGAGTATCTCAGGGATGCGATTTCCACCAAACATCAGGACTATTCAGGCCATTTTGCGGATGTTCAGGCGGGGAAGTCGGGGTTGGCTCCAGCAGCACAAAACACCAGAAACCATCCACAGCATCAGATATCTCCAAGACCCATGAGTACATCCGAGGCAGCGGCATTTTATGGAAGCCGAAGTCCAGTAAAATGCGATCAAGGGATCGCTGTGGTCGATCTACAGAGTCTTGGTGGAGGCAATATGCTCGGGGGATCTATTGCACGATTTTTGGATAGGCACCGGTTGGAGGATGCGGTGGATTTAGAAGAGACAGGAAGTACTCGAAAATAATTAAATGTATTTTGGTTTTACTACTCTCTATGATAACTGAATGAAATGAACAAAGAGAAAGGAGGAAATAGACAAGGATGGAATTAGAGAAAAATTGGTAGAAAGAAGCGAGTGATTCCTCGGGTTGCGCTATGCCGACAAAATTAAGTGGACGACTGATACTTACAGAACAGCAATCTCAATCTGCGGGAGGCGGTCGGTCGCGGAGAGGCTGCAGATCAATCACACGTGCGACCTCCAATGGATCTGATTATGATTCCAGTAAGTCCTCCTCACCATCACTTCCCTCCTTATCGCCGTCAAAGCCGTCCTCCAACTGGTTTAGCGCAGACGCCGCCGTCGTCTGGCTACCTGATCCACGGCGAGCGTCGATCTCTCTGTTGAGCCTGTCCAGGACATGCGCGACTTCGCCATACAAATTCTCTCCAAGGGGCGCCCAATTGCAGGAGTAAGCGATGGTCTTGACTGCCGTAGCAGTTCTGGCCTCAGAGAATTTTTGCGACAGCTGTTCAGCCGCATGATCCGGCAGGATCCACGTCTCTCTGCCCACCCTGTAAGGTTGACTGCTCACCCATATCTCGTACGCCTCCTTTCTCCACGCCTGGAGTCTCTTCAAGGCCATGTGTCTCTCTTCCTCCGAACGGCTCGATTTGGTGTCATGACAAACAGTGGCGGGAACGGAACGATCAAATTTGGAGCATCCAGAACAGCTGTTGTCGCAAGTACGAGCTTTGTTCTCAAAGAATTTGTCTAGTAGCGTCCAGAGACACCTTCCCGCTTGGTGGTTCATAAGGTAATCGTGCACGTTGTTATCTTTGGGGGGACATTTTGGTGATCGGTGGTGCGTAAAGGATTCCAAAGCCCTGAATCTTGGGATCTCGTGCCGCTCGTCCAAATCGCTGAACCAAACTCGGTATGTCCCTTGGAAGGCTACATGGTACAAATTTATTTTAAACATTTTAGAGAAGGTCCATTGTGATCGCTCTATTTTTCATACTTTTCATTTTTTTTTTTGTGTATACTACTTACCCGTACTGAATAACTTGAACCACATCGGGTATGTCACAACCCATGCCAGCAGCCTCGGTAGCCAGCAGGATATGGATGTCACCCTTCGCGAACTTGGTCATGACTGCCTCCTTGTATTGGGATCTTAAAGTGGAGAAGTAAACGCCTATCTTACCCAGATCGGGTCTCATTCTCGATAGATATTTAGAGACATCCATGAGAATGGAGATTTTTTCGAAGTAAATAATCGTCTTGTCTTTGCCTAACAGGGGAATAAGACCCTCCATGGCATCCTTGGGCTGAGTGTGAACCTCGAGACGAACATTTGTGGGAATCTCTTGCACACGAAGAACGTTGGCCTTGGACAGGAAGAGCTTGTCCGTGGTTTGAGTGAGGGCATCGGCAGCGAGTGTCGTGGTGACACCCACAAACGGAACTCCAGGCGACCAAAAGCGAAGCTCACCGAGGCGAGCATATTCAGGGCGAAACTTGTCCCATTTTTCAACACAATGGACCTCGTCCACCACAATAGCAAGCAACAGGTCCCGCCAGCGCGTATTTCGCCAAAGCCCTTGTACCAACCTCGAAGTAGGGCTGTCGCCAAAAATGATCTCGGGCGACATAAAGACTGCTCTGAACTCGCCTTCACATATGCGTCTAATTATGTCTCCATCAATGGCACCAGAGTTGTCGACGGAGAGAACGATGTGAGGTATTTTGGCGCTGACCAGCTTCTGTACGATTGAATGGCAAAGTTCAAAGATAAAAGGCGGTTAAAAATGACAATGTTGTTTTTGGCTGTATGATACATGGAAGGGCCTAGATATGAAATACCTGCTGCTTATCGTTCATCAAAGCCATCCGTGGCGAGATGATGGCAATGATACTGCCGGGCCAGTATGCCATAGGAAGAAAGAATGCGAGTGCCTTGCCCCAGACACAAGGAGCAATCAACAGGCAATCGATTTTCTGTGCAATGTGTTCCAATACCTCCAGTTGCTGCTCTTTTGGAGTACAGTTGAAAACTTCTCGACAAAGGCTAATGGCTTTTGATCTGGAAAAAAATTGGGGGCCCTAAAAGATGCACAAGATTGCGATGTAAAATATTAACAAAAAGATTGAATAGCAAGGCAAAAAGTGATTAAATCAATTTTCATAGAACACTTGCCACATCGTCGCTATCCTCGTTTTCTTCGTCTGGCATTGGTATAAGCTGCTCTAGCACAGCCTGCGATGGCGAAGAAAGGAACTGCCAGAAGGGATTCGCGGCGTCCTGTATAGCGTCCAATGCCATGGAGTCCCCGGAGAAGGTCGATCCCTCCAGAGGAGAATGGGTTTCATCCAATGAAAGTAGAGCCTCGGCGATTTTCCCCGGAGTATCCTATGCGGAGCAAATACAAAGTTCCAAGAGACGATTAGAAATGTGCTTGGAGAACAAAACATCGCGTTCATATCAGTGCCTGATATCCACTCACTTGGTTGGTTCCTCCAGAAAATTGTGTATCAGGTTTGTTGAAGCCGGGGACGTCGAGGACGCTTATGCCTTGAAGCTATACCGCGTTGAAGAACCAGCAAATTAGAAATCGCGACAAACACAACAGCAAAGTCTCATTGAGCACCGTATCAAACTGCGTCCTTACCTTGGAAACCCTCGGAGCGCGTTTACTTGGCGTGGCCGGAGTCCCGCTATATGGCGGAATGTCACTATAAAGAGTTTGAAGAGAATGAGAAAGAGATGAGACAAACTGAATAACGGTGGCTCGGATGCTCCGATGCTCCGATGCTCCGATGCTGCTGCTGGACGCCTGTCGGGAAATGAATACGTGCTTGAGATGCGCATCTGTACCTGGGCTGCCTTTTGTTTGACATGATGTCGCTTTACTTGAGAGTGAAGCAGGGTGGATGTAAGGTAAGAGACGACTTGAAGGAGTGAGGGGCAGAGAAGGAGTGAAGGAGCGCTATGTCTGATTGGCTATTGACCCTCTTCCCTTTTTTGGATGCGCTTCCCTTTTTTGGACGCGCTTCCCTTTTTTGGACGAAGGGAGCTTCCTTAGTAAAAGGGGAGATTGTGTCCCCCGCTTCCAGCAATAATGATCCTTCAACCCAAGGACTAATTTGAATTCGGATTTCGAGTTGAGAGAAGGATGAACATCATCCAGACCAACACCAAGACAAGAATCAACGCCTGCGATTTACTTAACAGGATTTTATTTTCTGTGCGTGCTCAGATCCACTTGTTCGATCCATCCTCTGTGTCGGGTTTGACTCTCATATCATAGGAACAGTAAGCCACTACTATGCAATAGTTTTCGCTATATTGTGGGGTACAGGAAGGGGAAGAGGAAGAAGGGTGTGGAAGGGTAGAAAAGGGCCACCATCTTGAACTAACGCTTCTGGATGCGAACTAGTATCGAGCCATAGCCCCATGGTTACCTTTTTTCGAACAGAGCTCGAATAGCAAGACAAGTCGTGCAGCCAGGGCTTGGTGTCTCGAAAATCTCGAAATATTTCATGATGTGGCGGTTGGGTTCCTTCGCCACCCTCATCAGCGTCATAACTCCCCAATCGATCTAGAAAGGAGAACATGGAACAAGAAGGTATGCTAGTGAGTCTTTCGTATCAGATGCATGGCATTCGTAACGTCAATTCAATCGATGCTTCATACATTTACTTATTCCTGGATGGTCTTGCCTGCAAGAAAATCTTCAGTGCAAACAGGTTTTTTTGATCATCGATAACCTTTCCACAAAAAGCTGAGACCACCCTACAAGGCTAAAAGCAGAATCGAATGTCAAGCCGGACTTCAACTGTACGACAATGCTTTTGTTATATAATTCGCCTAGATTACACATGTATATGCAACTACAATCTTTCTTTTGGTTACTAAATACTACGGATCGTTTATATCCTTGGAGATACTCCCTCTCCCTTCTGGTAATCTTGGTCGGGATCGTGAGACGGGTTTTCGATGACGGATGACGTGGCGACCTTGCTGGTTTCTAGATGGCGATTCATTTGGTGGCGTCGGTTTTAGTTTTGCACGTCCAGTACGAACAATGTCTGAGAAATAAAGTTTATTAGAGTTGCTTCAAATGCTGGTATTCAAAAAAAGTGTAACGAAATGAAATGAATGGGTATCCGTGATAAGTAAGGCAAAGATAGAAAGAAAAAGAGTAGATAGAAAAAAAACGCGTTACCAAGCAACCCAACCCATCGACCTTAAGTGTAAAGATCAATCGGATGGTTGTAGTCCTTGGGATAGCAAAAGTTGTGCGACTGAATCTCGTCCCGCAAAAAGTCAAGGGGCCATTCGACGAGGTGTCCCTGGACTTTGCTGAGGTCGTTCTCCATCGCCATCCTGACATCGTTGTCTCCAGCCAGAGCACTCGCTGTCCGTTTGACGTTCAATCGACTCTCGACCGACAGTCCCTTGACCAACTTGCCGTGCTTTTCACCGCCGACTCCAGCGCCGTCGTTGCTGCCGTCCATCTGCTGGGCGACGGTCCTGCGAACTGAGCTGTCCTTCTCGGGGTCTGCAGAGACGATGCCTCCTTGACGCCTCTCCTGGTTCAATTCTTCAGTCTGTTCCCGAGTCTTCTCATGAGCAGTAACGCGCTCGTCCGTCCGAAGGTTCTTCTCACTCGGCTTTTTCCGATTCTGTCTCAACTTGAGCTCGCTCTCGGCAGAAGGATCCTGTCGAATGATACGCTCGTCACGGGCCTTGTCCCTGATAGGATCCTCATCGTCGCCCGAGTCGTCATCCCGCAAAGCCTTCTTGGCCGCACGATTCGCCTCGCGGTTCTTTCGCAGAGGTCGGTGCTGCGTGTCCTCGTCCTCATCCTCTTCGCCACTGTCGTGTCCGGCCGACGTGAAATGCTCTGACAAAGTAGGACCCAAGATCTTGTTCATCGCTCGGTCCTTCAATGTCCTTTCTTCCTTCATGCGAGGGTCATCGATATTCGACTGGTCGTTGAATTTAGTGTAGTCGGACCAAGTCTTAACAGTGTTGTCGGGGATACACTTGAACATATCTCGGAAGATGAGGGTGTTGGAGTTCGCATAGTGCTTCCAGATCTCCTCAAAGAAGGCAGGGTGAACAGGATCTACGAAATCGAGAGGCGAGAATGGTGTGTTGCCGCTGTTTGATGACAAGTTTCCGTTGTGGTCGTGTCCTGGGCAAAGACCCAAATGCTCTGTCATCAGGTTCATTCGAAGGGTGTGGGCGAATCGGGAAACCTTGTAAGGAGCTCCGTTCATGGTCGAGTCGATGTAGTCCTTGTCTCGCACCACTGCCGCAATCTCAGAATCACGGTTACCAAGCATCGAGCGCTCGTTAATGTTGGCTATAACGGTATGAAAATGAAAAGGAAACCATAGTTAAGACACGAGTAAAATGAAAGACTGCATCAAAGAGTCTGCAATAAGATAACAATTAGGAAAAAGCATTACCTGATCCGATGATGGCAACACGGTCGTCGACGATCATCATCTTGGCGTGGATGTACACCTGCTCGGTGATGAACTGCTCGCCAAACTTGGCCCAGTTGCGGAGACCGTAGAACGAAATGTATTTATGAGGCTTAGTTACACCTGCAGTTGCAAGACGACCGTAGATCGAGTTCTTTCCGTGACAAATCGTCTCGTAGATGCTGAGCATGACCATGCGCACTGATGTTGCCTCAGGAGTGTTGATACCGCCCTCGAATCCAGGCACCAAAGGTAAAACGACAATCACCCTAAAATAAAGAGAAATCACGGAGGTGAAATAAATTTGGTGGCGTTAGTATATGCATGCAATCCATGTCACCCTCCGTGAAAATGTTATTTCATGTCTCTATCCATACCTAAACTTATCCCCCGCCTTATTAGCCTTGATAATCCTGTCTGTCAGAGCGCGGCCGATGCCATTGTGAACAATGGTCTTGTTGACATTTGTCGATGTGATGAAGAATTGGTTTTCTATACAGTGTAAGCATTGTTTAAAGTTAGCACGATACTGTATCAAATAAAAGCAACGCGCAAATATCAACAAACGCAGAGAGAGTCCTTACCGATATAGATGAAGTGCTCAGCTCGCTCGATGGCAGCGAGGTAGGCAGTGAGGATACTGCACTCGGGGTCCTTGACACCGATCGACCAGGAAGACACAGAGCGCAAGATCTGGACCTCACAAGTTCCCTTCAGACCCATCTCCTCCAGCTTGGACAGGTGAATATCAGGCTTGGGCAGCAAGAAGGGGATTCGCTTTTGCTTGGGCTTGGTCCTGCACAAAAAGTTCCAGCGCTGGATAAAGTGGCGAGCAACATCTCTTGAGGGCTGTCCAAGAATCTGGAGACCCACATCGTGCCAGGGCATCCTAGGGTTCTCGGCGCGGTCAATCGCATCGACGTCGGGCTTGGAGAGGTCGCAGAAGTCCTTGATGCGAGGGTTGGAGTAATCCTGTCCTGGCCAGCGAGGTCCGTTTTGGTCCTCCTTCGAATCTATCAGTGTGTGCTCCCCCGTGTCCCATCGTCCAAAACAGAGATCCAGTCCTCCAATGAATGCAATCATGTTGTCGACAACAATAAGCTTCTCGTGATGCGCCCACCAAGCAGTCTTCAGGTTGGGTCCGTGGCGCTGCACCCAGATATTCTCCGGGCAAAGCTTGCGAAGCAGCTTCTTGGCTCTGAGAGAGGCAAGATGCATGGCGGCATCGACCTCACTATACAAGACAATATAGATCTTGACGCCCTCATTCGCCTTGCGCCCCAAAATATCCTTCAGCGACCAGTCGACTCCGTCTCGTTGGTGGCGTCGGAGTAAAATCTCGGGCGAGAGCATCCAGTCCAGGATGTAGATGGATTCCTTGGCCATTTCCAGGGCCTTACTTGCGTTCCAGAAGTAATCCCTTCCATCGACCAGCCATTGAGCACTAACATCCGTTCTGACTGGCGCAAAACTGTGAAATCGCTTGGTCTCCTTCCAGAGAGAGGGCATCTTGCGAATACTCTCCACAAATTGTCGACGGCGATGATCCGATTTGGCGCGGACATGGAACTTGAGTTCCGCATTGATAATGTCGAAGGTGTGGGGGGCGTGGAGGTGGCGAGGCGACTTTGTCACCTTGAACGAAGAGTCCAGCAAAATGACGTCTAGGATTTCGGTCTATTGAGGGATTTGAGTTTTTTTTTTGTAGTGCGAGCCCCGGCTAGTCAATTAATTACGCCCATCTCTCACAGCAGCATTTGGGGTCTAAAAGAGCCATAGTGTGGTAATTCGGTAATTCGCAATAGAAATGAAAATAGATCGACTTACGTTTTTATGGCTGGCGGCGACAATGATGAAGGAATCGCGGACAATAAAGTACTTAGATACAGGCTTGCGGTAGACCTTCTTGATCGCATTCGTCAGGGGTCCCTCGTCCATGAGTCTCTTCTGCTTGATAACGTTGAGATAGCCCTCCTTGCCTTGGTATCCGCCGTCGGGAACATTGGTAAGCGTCAGAGCAGACAGCTCCAAGAACTTGCACATGCGCTCAGCGTCGGGCATATGCATGGCATAGCGAATCATCTCCTGGAGGAACGTCTGGAGCTCCATAGCCAACTTGGGCGCAGCCTTGGAATCAAAGGCGTTGGCGTTGTCGATGGGCGAATTCTCCTGGTCACCAATGTCTTGTGAGTCGAGATCGCCGGCCTTCGCAGACTTGCCGGTTAGACCAAAGCGAGAGCGAATGGCGGCCGGTGGTTTGGGAATACTGAGAGTCTTTGACAGGAGTGCGGCCTCGGGGATAGGGGTATGATAAGACTCGTACAGCCTGACAAAGTCTTCCAGACTACGCTCGATCAGCCAGCTGGGAAGATAATCACCATACTGGACCTTGATGATCATGAATCGCTTGTGCTCTTTGGCCTCCTTCTCTTCCTTGTCCTTGGCAGAGAGCTGCGAGACCCGTGACTCCTTGCCCTTGTCAATGCTGCTTCTCTTGCCGTCCCTGTTCTTGATCTTGGTATCTTTGGCGGTATAGGTGTAGGGCAAGATGACGACCTAATGAGCGGATCGCATCCAACAAGAACATCCAGAAAGATAAAGGGTGCAAACAAAGGAGAAAAAGGAAGAAAAAGGAAATTGATGAAGCGAATATTAGGTGTAAGCAAAATAAACGATCCGTCATGCATTGATGTCCAAGCTCAAGGTTCATCGAGTCTTCCACTCCTCGTCCCAAGTATGGAGCAGGAATGACCCCATGTTATAGCTTTGTCCCAGTTCGGGTCGTGGGTGACACAACGACAAACGTCTCGTGCTAATTTGCGCCAGAAACGAACAACGACCACGACCCTGTTACTGTTGCTTGGAAGCATCCAAACCAACCCAATGAAGAAAAGCCTGGGTGAACCGGCTGACAACCGCATTACTAGTTTTGGGGCAGGCTGTTGCTATGTTGTTCTTACCTTGACTAGAGCCAGAATTATATTCATATTCCAGTCGACATTGGCCTTGTCTGTCAAGGCGCCACCCTTGTCGTCGATCATGAAGGAGAGCCCCATGAAGACGGCTGAGGGTTGGACGAGCAGGGGAGTGAGGTTGTTCCAGAGTTGGTAGTCCTCGGTGAGTGCGACCTGGTCGGCTCCCTTGCCTTTCTTGCCATCCTTCTTGCCCTTGAAGAACTTGCTGAAGAAGGTCTTGAGCTGCAAGAGACGGGCGTTCTCCGCCTCCTCCTCTGTCATAGGAGCACTTCCTGAGGTCGCAGAGGTCACAGGAGGACTGAGAAGGATGCTGTTGCGGTCGATACTCTTGCGGTAGTTGCTCAGGTGGAAGCGCTTGGAGCTGAAGGGGTTCTTGAACTCAAAGTCGAAGGGGTTATCAGAAGAGGAAGCAGCAGCTGGGTCCTCTGCAGGGGGTTGTTGTTGTTCCTGGTTGCTGCTGCTGTTACTGATGGTTAACCTTTGGTTCTGATGTTTTTGGGGTGGCAGGGAGAGGGTGATGGTGTTGTTGGCGGAGGTGGGAGGGGAAGTGGGCGAACGAGGAGAGAGGAAGGTCTTCTTTTTGGCACCCAAGGCGAATAGTTGGGCGGCAGAGAGGACGATCTTGTTTTCAGTTGGGGACTGTGGGCGAGCATTCTCTGAGGGCGACTGGGAATGCATGGGTTTGGAGAGATCGACTACCGGGTGGTCCTCATCCAATGCAGAGACCTCGACAGCCATAGTGGGCAAAGAGAGTTGATTGTTTCTGCTGTGGAGTTTGTTCTTTGAAGGTGTGAAGAGGAGAAAAGGGAAGAAAAAAGGCGGAGAAAAAGATGGGAAGTATGGCGGGATGGCGGGGGTGATGGATGGATGAGTGAAGGGAAAGTGGACAAGAGGAGAGAGAGAGAGAGAGAGAGAGAGAGAGAGAGAGAGAGAGAGAGAGAGAGAGAGAGAGAGAGAGAGAGAGAGAGAGAGAGAGAGAGAGAGAGAGAGAGAGAGAGAGAGAGAGAGAGAGAGAGAGAGAGAGAGAGAGAGAGGGAGAGAGAGTGAGTGAGTGAGTGAGTGAGAAGGAAAGTAGAAGAAAAAAGAGCACTCGCAAGCAAGAATAATTAGGATAATTGACTCCGCTCGTTCACAGGACCGATGCAAGTGCCTTGTGCAAAGCTACAAAAATGCTTGCGGATGGATGGTTGCTTACTGTGAACCTATCACGTGTACGGCTTTCGGAGCGCAACCCCTAGGAAACTAGAACTAGGGCGAACGCTTCGCCACTTTTGGGGTCCGGCTACATGCTTTGTCGTCAGCAACTACGTAGTGGTGAAGTGGGAAGTAGGAAGGTCCTCCCTTCATCTCCGCTCTGCTAAGACGCCGAAACGCGTCAATGTGTTCGAATATCCAATCAGACAGACACCTCGCATTGAATCCATGTCTCAAAAACGAAGCATGAGATCTGAAAATGAAAACTTTTTCTTCACCCACCCAGCAACTCGGCAGACCCACCTTCAACTCTTTCCTACTTAAGCCCCTCGGTGAGTCGCCTCTCTTCCCTCTCCTTTTCTTCAACTATCATTTCAACTCACACCCTAAACTCTCAAGTGCCTAACGTCTTCAAATTCCCCCGACACACTCTACAAGTAATCATGAGTCAACACGAACAAAACGCAGTCGGCTCGATCGACCCATTCGCCCACACCTCAAGCAGCAAAGTCAACGCTGGCTCCGTCCCATTAAGGGTCAACTCTGACAACCTCTATGGATCTACCCACCATTCCGCAAGCCCGCCCGTTGGAGGCGAGGTCTGCCAACAGAGTCAAGCCCCCCACGACCCATCCTCGGCTTCCAAAATACCAGCAATAATAACCACGACCACAACAAAAGTAACAACGGAATCTACGACCACTCAAGGTAGGAAACCGTCCTTGACTGATACATTGATTGCTGGCGCCGCCGCCGCTGCCACAACAGCTACCAACGCGGCGACCAATGCAGTTATAGCTGCACGAAGACTGGTGGGCAACGACAAATCATCCGAAATCGACCTCAACAGCGAGACACCCGATACCGTTCAGACCGAGGAGACTTCATCACCGTCCAAGGGCGGCATTTTCAACTTTTTGAAGTTTTCATCCACCAACAATGGACTCTCTTTCTCTCAACGCAAACTGTCATCCCACAAGCACAAGGGCCATTCATCCCACCGCCACCACGTATCGTCTGCAACAGCTGCAGCTGCAACCGTTCATCATGACGCCATACAACACCCTATGAAAAGCGTAATGCCAAACAACACCACCACTCAGACAACCGCACAGGACAGCAACACGCAACACACCCTGCAAAATTCCATGCAACACCCGATGCAGGACTCTTCGCAAGACTCCATGGAGCAACAACACCCTGCGCAGGAGGAACAACAGGACTCTATGCAGCAGCAACAAAATCCCATGCAACAAGCCATGCCAGCGCCAGCGCCTACAAACATAACCTTTTCCGAGGAACCACCAGTAAGCACCCTCAAACATGCCCACGCAAAAACACTGTCTATAAAATATACCATTCCTGTTCATGCCGCTCACTTATAATATTATCTCTGTTTCTCGCACAGATCATGAGAACCAACAACAATGCACCAACTTCAACCACCTCCACAACCGCCGCCGCGCCTACCACTTCATTCCTCCCAAGGAGAGGCAGCATCGCCCACCAAACAGCCTTCCTGAGAGAACCCCACAACACCTTTTACGTCACCCACCAAGGCGGCGCTAATAGTCATGCCCTCGGTGTCGACCAACCCTCAGTCTCCTCAACCTCCAAAACCATAAAGACCAAGACCCATTCCGGCCTAGGCGTCGACAAACCCCTCTACGTTGGTGTCCACGACGACCCCAAGACCCAAGCCCGCATACGCGGCAGTCTCCACGTCGACAAAGAACCCGTCTTCTCACAGCATGCTCTCAACGACCCAAATAACAAGGGACAGAACTCGCATACGGGAAACCTGGTTGAAGCCAACTCTGTTACTGATAATGAGAACCCAGCTCCCTTGAAGGATTCAGTCCCTCCCCGTCGACGATTGCCCAACAACGGTTTGAATGTCGACTCTCCCTCTGTCGCGACTAGTAACATCGCTGGATCGGGCTCGACCGACAACACCAACACCAACCGCCCCAAGGGAACCTACAACTCTGGATTCAACGTCGATCGCGCGGGACACCATGACCAAAAGACCTCTGGCTTCGGAGTCGACAAACCTGCAATCGTCACCCACCACTTGGCAACCGCCCCCAAATTGCAAAACCCCACCCCGATTGTCCCAAAAACCACAACAACCAACAGCAGGAGCCGCTCCCCAACCCTCAACCCACAAAACAGTACCATCCACCCATACTCCACCACAACCACAACCTCCGAGACCGTGATCGACCCCGCAGAGATGGGTCCCACAGTCACCTACCAGAACCCTGCCAACCTCTCAACCTCTGCGCCAGTCGACCCCATAGTCATCCCTGCCGATTACAAAGGTCCCATCCCACAAGTCAACCCTGGCGAGAAGATCATCTGGGTCAAGAAGACTGTTGTTCAGACAGAGTACTATGACGGCCCTCATGACAACACCGGTAGTACCATGCCGCCAGCACCTACACAGGATTCTGGTATCCAGAACCGTCGTGGCAGTACAGGCTCATTATTGGATCGTATCCGTGGTCGCCGCTCTAGTGTCGTCTCGACGGACAAGGGCAAGCAACGAACGTAAAGAAACATAGACTCTCCTTGCAATCCGTAATAAAATATAACAATTTGCTCTTTTATTCTCCTCAGATGAGACATCTGAGATGGTATTATGGTACAAGATGGCGTAGATGGTATTACAGGAATATAAGGGTGATGGAGAGAAAAAGGAGGAAGATGGTCATTGTCCTGGTGGTTGTGGTCGTGGGTTCAGGAGCCTCAGGCTACGAGAAGCAAGTGCCGTCCCACTCCAGACCAACATAGTCGTCGACAACACCCTTGGTATGGATCCGCTTGCGCATGATGACGCCAATGTCCTTGGGAATCGCAGGCCATTCTTTACAATATTGGAAGCCCCACTTCTGGTAGACCTTGACGACCGGCCCGAGCGCATAGAGGAGAATGTCCTTGTTCCTTAATGTGGCCAGTGTCTCGATCCTTGCCATCATCATCGCTCCAATTCCAGACTTTTGGTGCTCCTGGGAGACGCAGATCTTGTCGACGTAAATGTAGCCCTTCATGAAGATAAACTGTGTGACTCCACGAACGGTCATCAGAGCTGGGTCGTCGGAAGGCTGGGACGAGCAAAAAATATCCACCGTAAAGTTGTCGTCCAAGCTGGAATCCAATGAGAGGTCCATGTTGTACTGGTAGAACGACCGCTGAACAAGTTCGCTCGCCTGATCAAACAACTCCTTTTGTGCCCTGTCGTATTTCAAAGCGAGTTCGGACTGGATCGTGAAGCAGAACCCTGTAAGATAGGTGTTGACCGTGTCCGTGAGCACATCCGGGTAATAAATGACTCCTGCTTCCACACACGCGCCCTTGTCGTTGTTTCGGTTCAGAATCGCTGGGTGTCGGTGTTGTAACTTCTGGTTTTTGTCCGCGTCCAGATCGGGGTTGTATTCCCAGCAGATACTCAGATAGTTACCCAGATTCTTTTGGGGATTGCCCCAACCGCAGATGCTAACTATTGTGCACAAAATCAAAATAAACAACAGCCACGGTAAGTATCAGAGTTTGTCTCATAAAGGTGCTTGACCATTGAATTATTTAGTTTGCAAATAAGAACTTACGCTTGCGCTTCTTAAACAGCGACGTCTCACGCGCCAGTTTTGACGAAGACATGTAGTTGGCCAAACGCTTGGTACGCCAAGCATCATCCCGCTCGTTCCAGCTGACAAAATCGACGGACTCGTGAAGCTTCAGCTGCTTGTACTGTGTCTTGCGCTTCTCGAGTGACTCCAATGATGCCGATCCCGTCAGTGACAGATCATCGACTCCTTTAATGGGCAGCCTTGGAGGTCGTGGTCGAAGGTTGTGCCGGGCAACAAACTGCACTTTTGGTGCTTCGCCTTCCTTGCTGGGGAGCGCGAGACTCGTTTTCCTGGTTTTCGAGATGGCTGGTAATGAAACTATGAAGTGTCGACAAAAAAGAAATGTGTTAAGTAAATGAACATTCCTTTTAGTGCGACAGATATATTACAACAAATGGATGAAGAAACAACTTACGGCCTCGACTTTTGAACTGGGCGTTGTATCTTTTGCCCCGCTGATCCTCATGAAAGGCGCGAACCTTTTCCTTGCGTTCCAGTGTTTTGTATGCCTCTGTCTTCATGAGGCTGCTTCTGGCGCCACTCTTGAACTGCAGCCGCCGCTTGAATTTGTCGAGCTCAACTCTCCTGGGCGATGCGGGGATATACTTTTCCAGTTCCTTTGGAAACATAGAATGAATGCTGGATCCTCGGGGTGTAGTGATAGTTTCGCCTAATTGGTCGTGGAAAAGGGGAAGTATGGTATTTCAATTAGTACCAGGGGTCAAGCATTAGGGAGACTTTGTCGATCCCGATATTTTTTCTTACACGCGCGCCGTAACAAAGCCATCCTTACCATGACCGACATAATCCGCCATCTTTTTTCTCAAACGGTCGCTTCGCCGATTCCCTGACGGTGTGCCTACTGATTCTTCGACAACTATAAGAGATGAGGATAATGAAAACTTGTCAGCAACAATTGTTTTCTTTTTGGCAAGATAATAATTGAATCCGGAATACATAATCAATTATCCAAATCTTACTCTGGACTGTACGCGCTCGAGTTTTGCGGGGAGGTGTTTTAGCGCCATCTTCCAGGATGAGTTCTTCTCGCCCTAGCTCGGCGGGTTGCTTTGGTGGGCGTGGGGATAACATATTATTGGTGTCTTGCAGTGGTGTACAGCGACTGGTGGAGTAAACAAGGGGCGATAGGAGACAACCTGTTAGTTATGTTGTTCCAATTGCCAATTCATATCCTGTCTTCCTGTATCGATTACAATCCAAATTGAAAGCTTGCTCATTGTTGCTAGTCGATGCCCTTGAAAAGTCTGCGCCATCAAACAAAAAGCGGGTCTCTAAGCAAAATCGGTTTCATTCCCGTCAGTTCCTGTTGCAAAACAGTTTTGTTCATCTATCCTGGTTGCGACTTACTTCTCTACACCAACACAACCTCCTTCTGAGGTTCCTGATCCTGAAGCTCAAGGTCTCCTGCTAAAATAGACCGACTTTTTCTTTGTTGCGCTTGGTCACCAATGGAAAGTAAAAAAGGTTGTCGTGTACTTCTGCGCAATGAATTCGAAGATTGCCGGCAGTTTAGGTGGTCGTTCTTGGGAGGTATAAAGTGAGTGGCGATGAGAAGCGGGACCAACAGCAGTTATGCGGTGCATCCGGAGTGGGAAAGGATGTACTGGAAGCTGTTCAGTAGCGAAGGAGTCCTGTTGCAGAGTTGATGGTGGAGAACAAAAAACAAAACCTCGTTTCCGCCTGGACCCCAAAAGGTGTCTTCGCTGTGACCGCTTGACAACTGTATGGTTCAAGAACACTCATTTTTCCCAATCTTTTGACCTTGTTCCTGGGGTCAATTCTGAATCATTAGGACGTGTAAGCGGCTTAACCGACAGCTGTGATAAAGGTGAACAAAATTGACTATAAGCTGGAGCACCTGGGGCCCTGGTTCCCGAGTTAGTAAATAACGACTTCAATACAGTCATTGGATTCAATCGTTTCATCCAACAACAACCGAAAATAGCTCAGTTGGTAGAGCGGGAGACTGTAGTTTGTCTGTCATCTCTAGGTCCCTGGTTCAAATCCGGGTTTTCGGATGTTCTTTTGCCTCATTCCTCTTTCTCTTTTTTTGTTCTCCCTGTTGGTGCCAACCTTTGGTCCAACTTGACGAGGAGTAGGAGAGATTTTTCTTTTGGATCCGATGCCGCGCGGGAAAATTGGATTGGAGAGGCTTTTGCGGATTTTGGATCTTAGGGTTGCAACGAAAAAGAATATTTACGACAGCTATGATGATGAAGAGCTTTACGACGTATAAGGACAAAACGTTTGTCGGGATGCTGACGCTTGAAAATCGGGTGAGTGGGCGTCTTGGGTGGCTACAGTTGCTGGGCGGACTCGGGAATCTGGAGGAGCTTCATGGATCGTTCAGCCTTGATACGATGTTGCCAGGGTTCGAGTGTAGACAGGAAGAGGGCGGACTGGGTCGTCGAACATTGGCCCAAGCTGAGGTACACTGAATTCTACGTGTATAGCCAAGCGCATTGGATTACGCTGCCGCCTCCCGTCCAGTCAATGTTAGAGAGGTTGCCTGGACTAACCGTCGCAAAGTACACACGGTCACCTATTTCAATCCTTGAGCTCGAAACAAATGAATAAAAGCGTCTCCTATGAATACTTGTACTGGACCTATTCAGGATTTGCTCCGCGCATTTATTATGACTCGAAATGACAAAAGTATGTGCATATATATTTATTTGGTTCAATGCCAAGGATAATGAACGTCAATGTAAAAGCTACAGAGTTTTAATCCTGGGAGTCTTGCGATCATCGACAAGAGAGGCTGGCTATACGGGATGGATGTCCCTTCAGGCAGCGTGAACAGCTCAATGAACGTCAGCTTGGGCCAATGCTCCACCATCCAATCCGCCTCGTCTTGCCCAAACTCGCGTCCAGGAATCATAGTATCCACGTTGAACGATCCATGAAGTTCCTCCAGGTTCCTGAGTCCACCCAACAGCTGTAACCAACCAACTCGCCCTATCGCTCGATTTTCAAGGGTCAACAGCCCAGGAAATGTCTTGTCTTTGTAGTTGATGTAATCACCGTCGCTGTCCCGGCTGCCCCTCTCCACTGCAACCCTCAGATCCAATATGCGCAACTGAGTTAAGACCCCGATCTGGCGATAGAACCTCTCCGGTCCAACCGTCCAGTGCGGCATCGGATCCGAGAAAACAAAGTCTTCCTCCCCCAGTTCCTCTTGCTCCTCTTCGAGCTGGACATACAGCTTCAGCTCCCTGAACTTTGTCGACGCCCACTCCTGACTGACTAGCATATCCAGTGGAATCTCAATATCCGAGTCATAGTTCATGCTGATCTTGAACACCTCCAAGGCTGAGCACTGGTGAAATATCCACGCAATGGAGCTAGCGGTCATTGACTGGCATTCGTCGAGGATGATACTCTTGACCGATTTGTTGTGGAACTCCAACCCCCAAACAAGACTCTGCAGCTCTTCCTTGTACTGCAGAAACTGCAACGACTCTAGCGTGTTCACCTCCATCTGCTCCAGAAACGCAAACATCATCCGTCCCTCCTCGTCCGCCTGAATATCGCGCTTACTCAGATGCTTCAGCTTTTGGCAGCTCTCGAGAATACGGATCGCGACGCCGCGGAGGTAGTTGGTGTCTCCGTTGTCGATTTCAGGCACGTCCATGGATGTGAGTTCTGGAAAGAGCTTGAAGAATGGGACGGAGATCTCTGCGGGGATGTAATCGTCGCCAGTGACGATGAGCTTCCAGTCTGACATGTGCATCAGCGGCTCTGTGCGTTGAACAGTTGGCCCTAGCTGCTGAGAGACACTATCCTTCAGCTCGGAGCTCGCTGTATCCCAGGCTTCAGACTTGAGTGCACGACAGTTTGGGGCGTAAAGAAGGGAGAAAGACTCGAGGAGGTCTGGGAAACTGTAGACGAGGGCCTTGAGGACTTCTTTAGGAGTGATACGGTCCGAGTATACCCATAGTTTCAGCGACCGCAGGGTGCCAATGGTCGAGAGGACTCTTGACAGCAACTCGAGGCTGACATTTGTGTTGACGATGACTTGGCCCAGATCGAGGATGGTGAGACATGGACTCTGGCGGACGACGTATAGGAGCTGGGCGGCGAAACAGGAGGCGTTGCAAAGCCCGTCTAGTGTCTCCTGAGGCAGGATAGACACGGACTGCTGGGTTGGACTGGACTGTCGGAACGAGGCAGTCGTGGAACTGTCGCGGAGAAAGCCGACCGTGCTCGAGTAGTAGAGTGAAAGTGGGGTTCCGCCTTTGCCTGTGTTGAGCGAACAAAGAGCATACGCATAGCTCGCCAGTTGTTTTAAGCTGTCTTGGTTCCAACGATTGTGCAGTCGAATGTCTCTGAAAAAGACGGATTGGCAGATGTTGTGGAAGTAGCGGGATGTCAGGCGGAGAGTGTGCAAGTCATTGGGAAGAAGGCGCGCTGCGACCATGAGGATCAGTTCTGGCATGTCCTTGACGCGTTCCAGTGCATCCTTCATGGCGAGTGAGATGGCGAAATGAAGGAAGGATGCTGGCGTTGAATGAATGAGTGAATGAATGAATGAATGAATGAATGAGTATATGAATGAACGAGTAAATGAATGAATAAAAGAGAAGAGAGAGGATGCATAGTGAGTCAGCAATGACAATTGACTGTGCCCCTTTATTAGTATTCCTGTGATGAACAAACGGTATCACTGATCAGACTCGCTTTTGTCGCGTCTCTTGGGCCTAAAAGGTTTTATCGGCGAAGCGGAAAAAAAAAGCGCAGTCAGTCGAGATTACATACTTTTACTTTTACTCTTTGAAATTTTCCATTAACCGCTCTCTGCCGGCATGGAATCCGCACGGAACTGATTCATAGACCTGCCGGAACTGACATTCGTGGTCGCCTCCTACCTGCACTTAGAGGGTATCCTTTCGTTCCTACGGACCGGTCGAAGCACCCACGGCGTCTACCAACAATTCCTCTTCCGCAATGCCCGACTGTGCGACCGATGGGAGTGGAGCAGCACAACGACTTTGGCAAAGAACGCCGATATTATCCTCTGGTTCACGATGGGAGACCGCGCTTGCAGATGCTACGACCATGGCCTACCTTCTCCTCCATGCCAAAACGCAAGTACCTGTCGACAACTCAAGTCCCGCACTCAACAATCCAAACGACAGAGCGCTCCGGTTCGACGCCCTCATTCAGCTCGCTTCATTTATTTCTCTCAACACCTTGAACGCGCTTTTGCCGGCCTCCTCTCTTGTCGACCAGCTCTTGTTAGTCGTTTCCTTCTGTCATGACCTTGTCTCTCAACCTGCGCCCAATTCGTATCAACCTCACCTTCGAATCCAACGTTCATTCAAGGACACTCTCGACCATCGCCACTCTGCAAGAATCTGCCCTGTCGATATCCACGAGTCGCCTGACTGCCGAAGACACATTCCAGATGTCTGTCGGCAGTCTCCCGAAAACCACAGTTTCTTTTTCTATGGTCTTAACCGCGCTGAGTGACTGCAATACGCGCAGGAGGAGAAGGAATCGGCATTAGTACTTGGGATGACAGCCGCTATGGCCGAATGTCCTCAAGGAAAAGACCTTTCCTGGAATGTTGACGCTTGAAAACCGAGCGAAGGGACGTCGTGGATGATTGCAGCTACTAGGAGGACTCGGTAATCTGAAAGAGCACCGAGGATCATTCGACTTAGATCCAATGTTGCCTGGGTTCAGGCTTGAACAGGACGAGACAGACTGGATTGTCGATCACTGGCCCAGGCTAAAGTTTATCGAGTTCTATTCAGTCCTCAAGCAGACTTATATCGATGTCCCTCCGCCTATCGCGTCTTGCTGAACAGAAGACCTGACCATGTGGTTGTGTAACAGTATCAAAGTTTTGATTCACTTCTTTCCTGTTGAGAGAATAGTGATTTTATTTCAGTGTTTTGATGTTGAGGAACCTATTGTATGCTCTATTATTTTGCCGCACATTTTTGTTAAAGATGAAGTTATTATTTGCATCATTGTAAGGGATAGAAAAAAGGACCTGTGTATGTTCTTGCGACTTTTAGTCCGGGCAATCTTTGCATCATCGACTGAACGAATGGAGGTAGCACGACGTTGTCTCTTTCACAATGTGTATAGAGCTCGATGAACTTCAGCCTTGGCCAATGTGACACCATCCAGTCTGCCTCGTCCTGACCAAACCCGAATCCAGGTACCATTGCATCCAAGTTGAACGACCCATGAAGCTCCTCTAGGTTCATGAGTCCATCCAGCAACTGTAGCCATCCAAGACGCCCTCTCGATCGATCCTCAAGCGTCAACAATCCAGGAAAGGTCCTGTCCCTGTACGGGAGATAACGTCCTTCATTGAAGCGACGGTTGTTGTCTACTACAACCTTCAGATCTAAAATCCGTAACTGGGTCAAAGCCCCGACTTGACGATAGAATCTCTCCAAGTCAATCGCCCAGTCTGGAATGGATTCCGCAATGGTCAGCGCATCTGCAGGATGTTCCGGGTTCTGTTCATTATCTGTCAGTCGAAGGTACAGTTCCAACTCTCGAAACTTGGTAGACGCCCACTGTTGAGTGACCAAACATTCCAGCGGAATCTCAAACCTAGAGTAAAAGGACCTACTGATCCTGAACACCTCCAAGTTCGACGACTGAAAGAAAATCGAGACCAACGAGTCCACATCAATCCAGCGGCATCTGTCAAACACAATACTCTTGATCGACTCCTTGTGAAAGTCGAGTCCGTCTCCAAATGTCCTGACATCCTCAGAGAGTTGAGCGATGTGGAGGGATTCCACGGTGTTGACAGGCATGCTGTGGAGGAATGCGAGCGCCATAGTCCCTTCCTTATCTGTGTAAGTATGGAGTTTTCTCAGATGTCTCAACTTGGGACACGCCTTGCTGATCCTGGTCGCCACGTCAAAGGTGTGTACTGGTGCCTGAAGGCCGATCGAGGGCACGTCGATCGATACGAGTTCAGGAAGGAACTCGAAAAGTGGCACTATGACGTCAGCCTCAATGTCGCCGAAAGTGATCACCAGTCCCCAGTCCGTCAGTCGTCTCAATGGCTCCTTGCGCTCCGTGATCGGTCCAAGCAACGCTGATACCGTGTCCACCAAACGAACCTCATCGTCGTCATCCTCCTCATCCGAAGGCGGCAATCTCTGACCCTGGAGAGTCTCAAAGACTAGAGAGAAGGACTCTAAGAGGGCCGGAAGGTTGTGGACGAGGGCTTTGAGGGTCTCTTCAGCGACGAGATCTTTCGTGTACAGTTTCAGGGACAGTGACCGCAAAGTGCTCATAGAGGAGAGTGCTCGTGCCAGAAAGTAGAGATCAAAGGCGGTATCGACCTTGACCGCCTCCAAGTTGAGGACTGTGAGGCGAGGACTGAGGGAAGCCACGTACAGGAACTTTGCTGGGAAACAAGGCATGTCACAAAGGCCGCGCAATGTGTCGCGAGAAAGAGTGGCGATGAGTTGTGTTGGACTGGTCCATTGAGGCGAGGATAGATTGGTGGTGGAACAGGTGCTGGGTGAACTGGTGGACTCGTCGAGAGGTATTGGTACCGGTGTTGCTGCCCCCACTGGTCGCGTAGATTCCCCGAGAACGTGTGATATGCTCGAGTAGTATAATGTACAAATGCTCTCGCTGAACGCGAGCGAACGGATCAACCCGGCAGAGTTTGCCAGCGTCTGCAGCCCTTCCTTTGTCCAGCGATCGGTGAGTCGTACATCACAGTATTGAAAGTGCTGGCAGATGTCGTGGTACTTGTGGCAGGTCAGACGGAAAGAGGCGATGTCTTTGTGATCGAGGTGTGATGCGACCATAAAGATCAGTTCGGTCATGTCCTTGAATCGGTCCTGTGCGGTTTCCATGATGGGGGGAAGTAGCGAAGGACGGATGATGGAGTTGAGGGAGCAGATGAAGAAAAGAAGTCAGACAAATTGAAAGAAATTATTAGGGGTGGGTGCGTGACTGAAGCGAGTAGAACGTTGACAACTGGAATCGATGTTATCGCTGTCGTTCTCCATGCCTACTTGCTCCCCAGTTTTTATGACAGACATTGCTGATCACACGCGTTTTGGAAGTGAACGAAATAAATTTGTCTCAGACTATCAGAATTACTAGTGATCGCCGCGTCGTCTCAGTAATTCAGTCGTCTGTCGCGTATTCAATCGCCATACATGCATATGCTTCTCACGAACGAAACCTCTATGGAGAGCAAGCGAGGATGTATTAAATGGATGCCAGCACAACATATCCACAATTAACCTTCGAGATCCCGTCGAGAGACCTTCTGGAGGAACCCGTGGAACTCAACAAAGTTCAGGGGGGTAAAATTATACCACCAGTTCGACAAGGAGCAGGAAGGCATCGAACAAGGAAGAAATGATCTTCTCGGACTCGATGTCGCGCTGGATGATTCGACTGGAGAGGATCTTTCGTCAGTTTAACCGTCTTGACAGATTTGCGGATTTTGGACCTGTGGGTTGCAATGGAGCGGCGAGGCGACGACGCGACTATATCGTACAGGTACAAGGCGTTTGTCGGGATTCTGACACTTGAGGATCGGACCACGGGTCGTCTCGGTTGGCTGTAGTTGCTAGGCGGACTGACGAGTCTGGAGTAAGTCTGAGGATCTTCTAACTAAGATGCGATATTGAAAGGATTCAAGTTCAGGCAATAGGAAGTAGATTGGATTGTCGAACATTGGCCTAGACTCTATTTGATAACGATTTATACGCTAACTGTGGCTGTTCGATCGATGATCTCAAGGGTGCCAGGACTGGAAGTGTGTAAAGCATCCTACGGTACTGAACAACGGATGAAGATATTCTGACATCTAACGTCAGATTATCTTATTCCCTGAACAACTCGCCTACGGCTACGGGTGAAATAATATAGTGGATTTCACGCAAAATTATCAATTTATGATCAATGTTATTCTTGGTATAAAAAGTGCGAGCCAAAAAGGCCTATTCAATTAAGCGAAGTTGATACTGGCGAAAAGCATACCCTATTCTCCAGCCTCACCCGCACCTAACCAACACACACACAACACACTCTCTTCAGAAAGACAACACTCGATCTCTTTTTTTCTTCCCTTCACATTCTATACATCTGTTCCCTTTTCTACACGACACTGAACGACAACCCCACTACATTATACGCAGATTAGCGGCTTATAATGGTTTATAGATTTTTTTATTCCGAGCACGATAGACAGTTATAAACCAGTCACATATGTGTGAATAGATTGTTTCATGTGCCCTCTCCTCTCGTGCCTGTGCCTGAACACATTGAGAACTGCGTTGCGCTCCTGCTTACATCACACTCTCTGCTCTCTATTCCTCTCTGCTCTTCCCTCCCTCTATCCCTAGGTCCTTCTATCATCACTCTCTCTACTCCCCTCTCTACTATCCTCTTCTCTCCTCCTTCCCTCAGCTTTGCCCTCACCCTGCTCCTAACCATATGTAGAGCGAGCTGACATGTAACACTGTGATAGACCAAGGATGGTGTTTATTCTCTTCTCTTTGGGTACTTTCTCGAGGGTGCTTTGGGAAGAGCCTTGTAGTATTTATCAATTGAACCAACAGTATCGATTTGCCCTCTTACGAAGGCAAGTGCATTGTTTACGGCGGACTTGTCAACCTGCAAGCCAGCTGGGATAGAGCGCAGAACCGAATGTACAATGTCCTTCTTCCACTTGTAGAGCTGTGCATCTTTGCCTCGCCACGCTGATCCGAACCACCTATTAAGCTCTGCGATGGAGGGGGACCCATCGACGCCGTGGTAAAACCACTCTTGCCACAGTTGGTCGAGCGTATTCGGTCGTGGGATCAGCTTGCACTCGGGCATTAGGGGCATATGGTGTTGGGTCTCTCCTCTCGCCCTCTTCTCGTCGGCGACTAAGACGGCTACTTGTCGCATTCTGTCCTCGACATTGTCGCTGGGGTTGAAAGCGGCCAGAGCTGCGCGGCGGTGCGCATCCCTTGAAAGAACTGCAGTGGAAGAAGTCGGAGGTCTTGATTCTTGCTGGCCAGCGTCCGGCTCTGGAAGCTGAAGAAGAGCGATGGCGGTAGCCATAGTGGTACTCTGGCTTGCTGCACTGCCGTTGACGTCGTCACTGACATTCACCTCATCGTCCTCGCTAATCGCCACCACGGCTTCCACCGTTGACTTGAGAGCTTGCATCAACTGAGATCGAACGGCATCCTTGTTCAAACATTGTCGCTTGTTGCCTGCCAGTTTGTCATTGTTGCCAATGCACCGCTTCAAGTCCTTCAGCTCGGATGCTGTCCTATCATTCTGAGCTTGTAAAGTAGCTGCTAGAACATTCATACCGGCGTGCAAACTCTGAAGTCCGGCTTGCTGGCTTTGCTGCAGGCTCCGGATTGCAGCATCTTGGACACCGAGCCTCGCGCCGACCCTGTCAAACTCCAGTTGGATGATGGGTGTGGCAGATGCGAGGGAATCCGTGAGAGGAGAGGGATTTCTCATGCTCTCGAGCAGGGTTTGCTGGAAATCTTGAAACGCAGGTGTTTTGAAGACAGGGTGATCGAAAACAGGGTGCGCGGCGGCAGCACCACCCCCGAACAGGATGACAGCTGCATCCTGAAGGATAACCTTTCGCAGGTGGGCGAGAAGGCTAAGATGGCGCTTTCTTGAAATGACCTCATTCGACAGAACGGTCTGCATATCCTTGTCCGTGTACACCTGCTTGACTTCCTTGCACTCGCCCCGTCGCAGCTTCTCACGCAACTCCTCGCGTCCGTGGAAAACGTCGCAGTCACGCATAATGTTGTCAATCGTGAGCCTCCAGAACGTGTCGGAGCAAGCATCCTCGATGAAAGGGAACAACTGCCTTTGGAGCTCAATGCTGGGGATCACAGTGTTCCGAGCCAGCCAAAAGCGCTCTAGACGGTCGCGGTCAAATCCAGCCAATCGAAGGGCCACTGAAGGCTCTACACCCTCGAGATAGTGAGTTGAGAGACGGTTCGATGCCCAGTTCCCGTGCTTAGCGATCGCCTCTACCGTAGATCCACACATATGCGCGAATCTGGAGCCGTGCTTGCGCCCAAGGTGAGTCACTGTGCCCTTGTCCAATATCCCGCTCTCATGAAGAGCCTCCACCTGCGCCTGGAACTGGGAGTTGTAAGTCATCGGTACATCCATTGGTTTGTTTCCAGCTAACAGATGGTAGTCGGTCCATTTAGGGTTGGTGAGATCAGGCGCCCTTTTGTTTTTGCTCTTAGTACAGCAAAAAAAAGGAAGAGGGGGGGGGGGAAGAACGCATTATTAAATGAGTGTTGAAATATGAGTGACACCACGCGTCGGCCGCCGACATTTACCACATGCACGCCACTTACCGACCAAAGCTCAAGCAAATAAAAGGCTAGCGCGCCAACTGGACACACATCTACTTCTTTGTTCCGAACTGCAACTCCATACTGAATCTTGCCGTCCTTGTTCGTCTTGCCTTGCCTCATCATCAGCACAACTCCAAGCACGAATTGGCCTTCTCTGCAGCTGGCATCGTTCGTATTTTTGTTGCGGTTGGGCTCGACGTCGTGGGCGAAAAGATCCGGGAGTCGGATCTGGCGTGTGACCTCGCTGCGGAACATCATAAAAAAGCAAAGACTTACATCCGCACGGTCGCGTAACCCTTTCAAGCGGCGCTTTCTCAAGCTGGCTGCGCCATCCACATTGCGCATCCAAAATCGCTTCATTAGCTGCCGAACAATCGAAGTTGGGTTCTGGGTGAAGTCGATAGAGCCAAAGTCGGTATCTGTCGACCTCTTCCTGGCGGACATCCTCACGCGGTAAACGTCGATCAGAGGTTGAATGTACGTCTTCGGGGCCGGAACTGTGCCATAATCCATCGCTAAATTGTTCCTGTCTTCACACTGATGCTTATAGAGGTCGCCAATGGCAGCGAGGTGCAAGAGAATGGTTGCCGTCGAGTACCACCGCTCTTCACTGTTCTCATTGTTGCTGTTGTGGATGTCAACGTCTCGACTGGCGTCCCCCTCGCAGTTGTCATCGCTTTTGTCCTCCACATCGCCTCCATCGACATCATCATCAGAACACGGGTCATCCATATTTGCCCGCCGTTCGCCGGACTTGTCCTTGCTGTTGTTGCCCTTCCTGTCTCTTGGCGACGGTTTGATCCGTATGATACCTATTGCATTTATATTTTCGTTAGTTCTTATAATTTCAAACACCACCATAGCGTTTCGTCGTCGTCGTCGTATCGTATGACCGCTCACATTAGTTCCATTTTTCATATTCATACCGTTTTGAGGATCTTCCGTCTCGCAGGTCAGGCAAGCAAAGTAACGGGTTACTTTGCCTTTCGTGAAGTTGTAATCATCCTTATATCCAGAAACGTCGCACCATTCCTATACCAAGGGATGGAGTGATTGAGTTAGTTAGTGCGTCGAGTCGGGGGCCATAGTTTATCTATGCTTGTGCAAAAATGGGGGTACATTTTACAATTTGCCATACCATGAACTTCTCCTGGTACCGATCATACTGGTCCCGCGTCGACTGGGCTTGCAAGGACTTGCGAGCTTCGGCCACAAGATGGGAGCTTGCTAGCTCCTTCTGCTTATTACAGAGGTGATTTTGTTGTTCAACCCTATTGCGTTCGCGGTAGGTTTCCAGCTTAGATTTTGCTCTTGCCGGCTGGCTGCCTTGCATGCTCGTCTGCTGCCGTTTGTTTCGTGCTATGGCTTTGCCTTTAACAGAAAAGCTGCACGACTTGTTTAACGCGAAACAATAAAACAATAGAACGAAATAGTAAGTATGGTGGTATGGTGGATGCCAATCAGGTACAGGACATATCGCCCCAAGTGTGCAAATACCTCTTTAG